AGGCGGGGAAACGATATCCCTCTTAAGGTCGTCATCCCGAAGAACGATTCTCCCGAGCCACGGCCAGCCATCGAACCTACCCCTGGCACCTCAAGGGCAACACAGCCGAGGACCACCGCTCGCCCGAGGATCGTTCTTTCTCCTGCCTCTGCAACGTTCTAGCCACTACCAATTGCACCTTACTCTAAATTGTCTTTTGTTTATGTTAATCTCTAGCTTAAGTTGCGGTAATAAGCCGTCAATCAATTAAGCCAGTTCACCTACGACACGCACTCTAGAAACGCGGGCCGCCACGGTAATTGTAGTCATAAATTCTGCCAAGTCATGCCTTACTACGCGGTGGCCTATGGTCGCAGAGTCGGCGTCTTCCCCACCTGGGACAAGTGCCGCCTGCAGATAAATCACTTTCCTGACCCTGTTTTTCGCCGCTTCACCTGCCTATCCGATTCCTTACGCTTCCTTCAAGTTGCTGCTCTCACTTATCTACCTCTCACGGACACCCTCTTCACGCGGGGTCCGGACGGTCGAGTACGGGCGTCCACCGATGGGGCCTGCACCCAAAACGGCACTGCCAATGCGAAAGCCTCCATAGGGATCTTTTTCGAGCCCGGGCATGTCGAGAACGTCTCTCGGGCCGCGCCCGCGGACCCGTTCCACCAACAATGAAAGCAGAGCTGAACCTTCAAGAGGCCGTCAGACATAACACGGGCAGTACCACTTCCGAGCCCTGTCTATTTTTACCGACTCGGAGGTTTGTTGTGAAGAGCCTGATGAATAGCTGCCGCTCGGAGCAGCAGAAATTGGTGTAACCGAGCGTCGGGCGCAGCCCAGTCTATAAAGACGAGCTGCTGATATTTTCCCGAGACAATTCGAACCTTGACGCCACCATCCACTACCTCCAAGGTCACGTTGGGCACTACGGTAACGAGGGCGCCCATTCGCTGGCTCAGGCTGCCTTACCAGTCCTGACTATCAGCTAAAGAGGGCGAGTTTTGCCTTTGGTGGGGGTGAGGGGGGGGGCTGAGTGGGAGCAGGGTGGGGACAAGTTTTAGCGCAGTAGTCGGGGTTGGGGGGGAGAGGAAAGGGGGGGGGGTGGGATGGATTGGTGGTGTGATGGAATGGGGGGGTCTCAACTGGGGGTGGGGCAGCAGGGGGGGGGGGGGTGGGGGGGGGGGGGTTGTGGGTTATGAGGGGGGGGTAATGGTGCGGGGGGGGGGGGGGGTGGGGGGGGGGGGGGGGGGGGGGGGTGATTGTATAGTTTGGGTGGTTTGGGGTGGGAAAGGGGCGGGAGGGGGGTAATAAGAAGTTTATAAGGGTGTGGGGTGGTTGTTCTTGTGTATGTTGGGTTTTTGAGGTGGTGGCGGGGAAGGGGTTGGGGTTCGAGTTTTGTACTTTGTGGGATTTTTTCGTTGTGTTGATTTTTTGTATATTGTTACGTTTGGGGGTCGCGCTGGACGCGCGCGCGCGCGCGCGCGTGGTGACGCGCGCGACTAATAGTCGCGTCATTCACCACTGCTCTCCCTATTTCGTTTTTATACTGTTTCCCCCCTTTCCCATCTTGCCATTGCTACGTAGCATAGGATCTAGACCGCTGATCAGCATTTTTCTTATCCGTCGACGATGGTCAGCTCTTTCCCAAGCATTTTGACTTGTGGCGGGGCCCGGGGCCCCAAACTGCAGACGGTGCACATTTTTCCCATTTTGTTCTGTGGACTGGGAGTTTCCCAGCTTAATCAGTTTGAGGAACTTTCCAGTTCACCAGAAATCACGCATACATAAAATGACGACTCAATCCTTACAAAGCAATACTTTGTTGGGTCGTTGTTTATGTCGGCTGCTGACATTCAAACTGGGGCAGGGTTACTTCCGGCGACTCTGCTTACACTCGGCCACTTCGTAGACCAAACAGCTCTTATCGGCGCTTATCGTCGAAGACCACAGACCCGTCAAGACGGCCCGCGTATCTAGCATCACGTAGAACTAAATAAAATTTATTCTATCTTCAGTCGTTACAATAATCTCTCCCGAGACGCAGTAACGCGTATAGCCTCTTCCATAGTTATTATTGCTAATCATATTCAATAAAGAGTTTCCGTCTACCGATGTTACAAATTTACTTGTAAAAACAAAAAGAAAATAAAAATCTTATTATTAGTGTTGTAAGTGATAAAAGACAAAAACAGAACAACAAAGGAATATTTGTTAACTAAGAGGTGTTGTGTGAGTTATTTGTGATCCAGGAGGATCCCTACTCCCTTGGAGTAAAACATCTCCTATCGAAACTCACTACTCAACGTTTCTGTACCTGGTTCGTAATTGTCCTCCTGGCGAGCAGTACGGATTAAGGTAAGTTCATCTTACACTATCAACCTCCTATTCTGAACTGGGACTCATCATTGGCAAGAGGGGAGAAGAGTGCAGGCTCTTCTGACGTTTCCTTGAAAATTTCCTTTACAAAACAAAAAGAAAAGAGGGGAAAGAAGTTTTTTTTTCCCCTTAGAAAAACTACCTGTCCATGTCCGACGCCTCCAATCCTTCATACGCTACCCGCAATCACCCCTTTCACTTCTATGGTATCACCATTAAATCATAATCTTACGAAATAAAATTATTCATTAAATAAATTAAATTTGATTAAAAATAGTCGGACATAACATATTGAAACATTCCCTATTTAATCGGATTATTTCTTATTCATTCCCATTGAAAATTTTATCTGAATGATTCCTATTGTACATGATTTTATTCAATCGGAACATTGTACGTATCCTATTGATTCCTATTCAATTTTAAAAAAATTCAATGGGAATTAAGTCGGAATTAATTGGTATCAATTGGATTATTTCATAAGGGTTTACAGTCATCACTGCAGATGACTAACTGTTGAGTTATTCCATGTCTGAGGAATATTCTAAGTTGTTTGGGTTTTCACTAGAGAGTTCGACTGCGTGAGTTCTCTGCGTGTACACATGTACCGAGTTGACTGTTCCAACGAGTTGTCTGTCGGTTGGCATCGTCCAATGATGCCCAAGAGTCGTCCGAGTATGAAATCCGTACGAATACTCTATAACTGGCGAATACTGACTAATATAGACCGTCTTTCTCGAAAAGTCGACGTTCTAGAAGCTTCTAGGTCCTTGAGAAGGGATATTAATGCCTAGGAATTAATTAGAGTATGTCTGGGATCGAACCCTAATCGGTAAAGTGAAAGCCTGGTGTTCTAACCACACAGCTAACACATTATCTCTGACATTATGCTTATGTTTATGAGTTATATAATGCAGACTTGAGTATGAAGGGTGGGGATAGAGCTTGCCAGCGAAGTGCCGGAACTCCCCGCGGACTGTTTCAACTACTTCTGAATATCTTTAAATTGTTTAAAAAAAAGCTACGCTCATAGAACTGTATTTAAAAAAATGTTTATAACCCTTTTTAAGGGTTTTCCGACTCGGCGTCAAATAATTAAATGAATAAATCGATGAAAAAAAAATCAAATCGTTGTAAACAATTACTTTTGGCATGTTCATATTATAATTACATGCAAATCTAATAAATAAAAAAGAAAAAAAAAACTTTATCATGACTAGGTTCGAACCCTACCCGGCAAAATAGAAGTCCAGCGCTCTGACCACAGAGCTATTTGTCAGGATAACAATTCTATTATTTATGCTTGTAAATTATAAGCTCAGGCTTCGGCACAAAGAGTGGGGGTAGAGCTTGCCGGCGAAGTGCCGGAACTCTCCGCAAAATGTTTTAAGGCTGGGCTTTACTAACCTCAAATCACCTCAAATTTTTCTCGTCAAACTGTGCATTTTTTATTTGTTTTTTTCATGTAGAAAATATTCAGGAATATGTAGAAAAGTGGTATACACATCGGAAAACAAAGATTTATAGTACAAGTGTAATAATAATCGTAGAATAAATAACTTTTCAGTGAAGGGCTCATGACAAGTGCATCCGCCATGACACCTCAAAATTCACTGAACAGTTATTTATTCTACGAGTTCGAACAGTTGACGAGCAAGCACATTCCCCACCCTCTGTTACTAAGCCTGAAGCTTACGATATCTAAACGTAAACAAAGCAAATGAAAATATGCTAGCTCTATAGTCAGAAGGTTCGCCAGTTATTTTACCGAACGGTGTTCGATTCCAATTGCGGCAAAATTTTTTTTTTATTTAAATTGCATGTAATTGCAATTTTATCATGCCAAAAATGAGTTTTAAATTTCAATTTTTATGTAAAATTTTTTTTTCAATTAATCAATGACAAATGAGAAAATATTTGAACAGGGCCATCAACCTTTTTTTGTACAAATACATTGATAATAGCCTTTTTTAACAACTTATTAACAATAAAAAATTGTTTAAACAATCCGCGGCGAGTTCCGATACTTCGCCGGCAAGCTCGACCCCCACTTTCTGTGCCCAAGCCTGCCCGTGTGGAAATATTTTTTCTGATATATTCTAAAAAATTCGGAAAAAAGTTCTGAAAGGTTCTGAAATGTTCAATATTTGTTCTGAAGAACTCGGAAAAGTACTCTGAAACGTTGTCGTAATTGGAACATACTTTTTCAGAAAGATTCAGAGTCAATCAGAAGGAAAAATTTAGAAATATGGAGTTTTCAGAGTAATTCTGAATAAATAAACGATAATCAGGAAAATAAAAAGTGAAATTTTTGAGATTTTCAAAGAGTTTCAGAGTAAATCAAAATTAAATATAGAATTTAAATTTTAACATTTCAGGATATTTCAGAAACAATCAATATAAAATATGGACTTCAAATTTTTACATTTCAGAATATTTCAGAGACAATTAATATAAAATATGGACTTTAAATATTTACATTTCAGAATATTTCAGGATATTTCAGAAACAATAAATATAAAATATGGACTTTAAATTCTTACATTTCAGAATATTTCAGAAAAAATCAGAAATGTGGAGTAATTTTCGGAATAAGTTGAAAAAAAAATTGAAATTAATCTGAGATAGTTGCATTCATCAAAGAAACATATTTATTGCAAAATTATAAAATTATAAAGTATCTTATGAATATAATACAATAGAGTTACAATAGGAATTAAAAAATGAAACCAAAATCTTATATACTTCATAAATAAATTAAATGAATGATTTTCGATAATTTAAATAGCCAAAATGTCCTAGATTCCAACGTTTTCATCATAGTCCTGTCATCATAAAGAATTTACATTTTTTAATGTTTTCATCATAATGACAAAACTATGTTAAAAGAATAGGCATCTTGGACATTTCGCCTATTGAAGTATTAAAAATCATTAAATCAATTATAAAGTAAATTATTGCTAAACTTTATAGAGAAATGAACATTGATCATTAAAACTCTCAGTCTATGCAAATCATTTAAATCTCTCTATGCTGTACATTATTTGTAAGAACAAAAAAATTACATTAAATAAAACAGAATAACTTTTTTATAAAACTTTTCGTAATAAAAAATATTTATAGCTTATATCTATGATTAGAAGAAACCACTAGTGATGGTTTTACAATATCGGGGTAACCATATTGCAAATACTGATTAATGTTCAACTTAACATAACATCAGTCATTACCTTAAAGAGGTAGGTTTATCAATCATTTATCTCAAGAAATATTCAATAGAAATTAAATGAAAAAAAAAATGTTAATCTCTTGTACTCTTTGGACGAATTGAATTGATGATTTTCGATAATTCAAATAGCCAAAATGTCCTAGATTCCAACGTTTTCATCATAGTCCTGTCATCATAAAGAATTTACATTTTTTAATGTTTTCATCATAATGGCAAAACTATGTTAAAAGAATAGGCATCTTGGACATTTCGCCTATTGAGGTATTAAAAATCATTAAATCAATTATAAAGTAAATTATTGCTAAACTTTATAGAGAAATGAACATTGATCATTAAAACTCTCAGTCTATGCAAATCATTTAAATCTCTCTATGCTGTACATTATTTGTAAGAACAAAAAAATTACATTAAATAAAACAGAATAACTTTTTTATAAAACTTTTCGTAATAAAAAATATTTATAGCTTATATCTATGATTAGAAGAAACCACTAGTGATGGTTTTACAATATCGGGGTAACCATATTGCAAATACTGATTAATGTTCAACTTAACATAACATCAGTCATTACCTTAAAGAGGTAGGTTTATCAATCATTTATCTCAAGAAATATTCAATAGAAATTAAATGAAAAAAAAAATGTTAATCTCTTGTACTCTTTGGACGAATTGAATTGATGATTTTCGATAATTCAAATAGCCAAAATGTCCTAGATTCCAACGTTTTCATCATAGTCCTGTCATCATAAAGAATTTACATTTTTTAATGTTTTCATCATAATGGCAAAACTATAATGAAAGAATAAGCATCTTGGACATTTCGCTTATTGAGTTATTTAAAATCATCAATTGAATTTACGCATTAGTATTAATTATTTTCATCAGAATCGTTTTCATTGTTCCTACCCTTACGTTTTTTTTTGGCTATCGTCTTTCTGGCGCCTCCAATGGCTCGTCCCAGGTAAGCATTTACTTCCTTCATTTCAACAGTTTGTGTCATTTTATCGCGGTGTCTAAGATACCTCTCAAACTGATTTATTACAACTAACTTTTTATTTTCTTCGAGAAGTGGACGGTTCTCTCTCCCCTCTATGTGAGCGACAGATCTATTAGCCAATTGTTCTTGCCCCCAGAGGGCATAAGCTAATTTTGTAACGAAGAGACTTGGTTTGACTTGATTTTTTGCCTTATTATAAGCAACTTGGCTGACCCACTCGCCCTCTCCCAAGTAAATGAGACCTGATCTTTTCGTTCCTACAGTGAGATTCGCCTCATTATTTAAATTCAAGTTGTTCGGTGAAAGTAATCTTAGTGGTGGTTCTTCTATGTTGTGAGGTGGTATTTCTATGTTGTGTTCTGGTTCTTCTATGTTATATGGTGGTTCTTCTATGTCGTACGGTGGTAGTTCTACGTTGTGTGATGGTGCTTCTATGGTTGAGGCTGGGTTATTTATTTCAACTACCTGAAAAGTGAACAATTAAATGATTTTAAAATATCAACTGTAGGAAAGGGTTTCGAGACGACAGTTTATTGGGTCTACAGAATTTTCTTTTATATTTATGGTTGTTACCTGACAATTTTTATAAGGATATAGTTTTATTATATAATAAAAATAATAAGAATTATAGTTTATGTATTTGTGCATCATACAATTGTTTCTGCAAAACTAGCCAAGTGTAACAATTATTGTGAAAAAAAACTAATTAGTCAATACCAAAAGTATGAATGTTTTGAAGACTTTATCTCTTTTACATTATAAAAAAAAAAAGGATAGTTGAAAAAAGTTTCGGTCAAACTATTTTGTGTATTAAACATTTCTAAAATTAGAGGAATATTAAATAATGGCTACTCACATCTTCAGTGTCTGCACTTGTACTAGCTCGGGCTTTTTCGTGGGCATCTATAATGGCCTCAGCCATCTTCCGTTTTACTGCTTTTTTTTTTGTCTCAAGCTTCTGTAAGGCATTATGTATATATATTACTGTCATAATCAAAGTTGTAATGGTTGTAAAATTTGTAAATAAAAAAAAATAAATTATATAATTTTGCTATATTTTCAATTTGGTAAGGAAAGCTGTCGTTGAATAGATTTTAATAAATATTATTAAATTATCACTTTATCAATAAATGAGACATAAAAAAATATTGTTAGTTATCCATTGTAAAAGACTAAAAAGACACAAATTTTTATCTCTTAAAATAAATAAAGGTGATTATGAGGAGAAAATTGTAATAGTAAAGTAAGCTATTGAAGATTTATGTTAGTGGAAATTAAGTGCAAGTATTAGATCAAATTCAACAAGAACTTATCACTACTTTTCAGTAATTTCTTCTGATACTTTATTATCAGGGTGAAGTTGTTATTGTAATGGCTCCGTACCTTTCCGCTTTTGGAATTAGCAAGTAAAGTATAGACAGTAATAATAATAGACGTAAAACATTATATTTAAGATTTCCGGATTTCTATACTCTTCACCTTTTGCTGTAATTCTTAATACATAAACGCAAATAATTAATGATCAAACTACAGGTGTATTAAAAGCAGAAACAAAATTTGACGGACTCATTCGATCTCACAATCATCATGAAAACAACTATAGCTCTACTCAAAAACTGTACTATCCACTCTACTGAATCATAATAACTATTCAAAGCTATGAGTGTAATTAAGACCCATAAATAACTGTCATAACATTGAACTCATTGAAAAACTTCTATTTCAAAAGGATTACCGAAATTATTTTTTTACGTAATAATAAAAATGCTGAATTTTCAATAAATTAAAAGTCTTTTTTATTGAAACAATAAACAAGTTTCATATTTAAAAAATGATGAATATATTTACCTTTCTTTGTACCTTAATCACTTCCTCTTCGTCTTTATCACTTTTACCGTCATCATCGTTTTTTGACGTTTCATCAGTTTCATCATCTGTATCCATAATATCTTCAATTTTATCGGAGTCGTTTATTTTCGGATCAGGTATTCTTTTTTCTGCAATTATATTCTCCAATTCCTCTTGTGTTTCTTAAAAAAAATGTATATGTATATAAATTGATACTAAGTAGTTGGATATAATTAGATAGAATTATATTGTTCTTCAATAATTTAAAATTATTTATAGAAAACGAACAGTTTCTATTCAAAAACATACAAAAGTAATAGTAAATCACGTGACTAAAAAGAAATTTACATCTTTTATTTATTGTACTTTATTCACTTAAAGTACAATGTGATAAATTATTTTCGTTGGTGGAATAAAAAATACGTTCTCGTGCAAATTAACATTATAATTATAATGCATAAGCAAATGAAATTGAATATGTTTAAAAATAAATCATTTTATTAAGGCAGTAGTTAAAATTACGTATATACTACAATTAATTTATATCGATAAGGTACTATACACATATATAACTATTTATGTTACATGTCGTTTATGTGCGTTATAGAAGTAAACTATAAAATTCAAAATTAATTTTAAAAAAAAGTAATTCTTTCATCTTTAATATCAACCCAATTTCTAAAAACCGGCTTGAGAATAAGTATGGAAACACCCTGTACAATTATTTTAAGGTTATCACTAACCATTGTTCCCATGTGGCGACAATCATTAACAATAACTACGTATCAGTAATTTATTTCATATTCATTCAAAAAATTTCTTTGCTACAATAACATTTACAGACATATAACATGAATAAAAAATAATAAATGTATCTTTCTCACCTCCAACTAATAATATTCTACAGGATTTCTTTAGATTTTTCTCGTGTAACAAATACATTTGTTTGTTTGATGGATTGTCGATATAAGTGTCGAAATCGATTATATTTTTAGTCTTAACAATTTTTTTTTCTAAAGTTTTTAATAACTTTATGTACGCGAATTTCATTGTTGCACAAAAAAATAATATTAATTCCGACAAAACGAATTTTCTTAATTATATTGCGCACCCAACGTCTCACACAACGTGCCTGCATGTATTGTCGAACTGAGAAAAGAGTTCCTCAGTTGCTTCAATGCTTTCGGACTCCCCACTACTGATTTTCTACCCCTTCTACCATGTTTTTTACTACTGCGCAAGCGCACAAGAACACATGAAGAGCATCTAAGGAACTCTCTTTTCAGTCCGACTATACTGGTTCTTGAAAGGTTATCACGTGTCTGATAGAACGAGAAGTGGGGTCAGAGAGAAGTCCTAGTGGTTGATGTGAGGGCATCACACACGTACTTGTATACTTTTACTTTCAAAGATAGAGTCAGTAACAGAAATCGTACTAAAAGTGAAAATTGTGATTGTGATTCATTGTAACGCGTTTATTATTAAATAAAAAAAGAAGATACGAGATTTATTAATAAACACATATTAATGGTAAGATAAGCATAATTGTTTTTTATTAGTGTGCACGATTTATTGAAAAAAGACTTTATCAAATACATGTTTAATAATATAGTAATTTATAACCTCTTTGGTGTATCAACTTGTATCGTTATTTGCATATTTCATTGATTCATAAAAATCTTTTATCTTTTTAGAAATTATATAAATATTAAAGTTTCCATCTTAATTTACATGATTCAAAATTAATGTATCACTTCTGCATTCATCACTGTAACAAATATAATTAAATGCCTCTTTGTATACCTAAAGCGAAAATTATCGATTTTCTGTGAACTTCAAACATTTGAATTTACTGAACATATCTAATTAATTTACAGATACACCTGTTATAATAGTAAAAATGGAATGGAATAATGAATGATAAAATTGAATTGATGTGATAATTTTCTCCGGGCATCATATCTAGTAAACCACTTTGTGCACTCTACAAATAAATCTACATATATTTATGATTATTTTATATGCTTTCTTTTTCATGAGGTAAGTTTCTCTTTTGTATCTATATCATTTTTTGTTTTGATAATTATTTCTACGACTTAAGTTAAATCAATGTATAAGAAGATACTTTATGTTTAGAAATCAAATGAATCATTCTACAATCGTCGATTCATTTCTCTTATTTATTTTCAGTTATGATTTATTCTTCATTATTGTCACAATCCATTTAAAAAAATTTGAATCTTAATTTATTAATCATTTTCTTTATTCTATGACTTCAATTATGATCCGAAGTTTATAAACTAATAATAATGTAGGGTTAAAAATTATTATACATGTTAGAAAAAATAGAAAATATTGAAATTCGATGCTTTACAACAAAATGCTATGCTTTACATAGTTTCACGCAATTTTAATTGGTACGGAAAATAATAATGAACCATTTACGTATTTATTTGGTGTAAAGATGATACTATCAATTTGATAGTTACCTGGTGTTGATTGACCTGTTTTTGTGGCTTCCATATCAATAAAGGTTAATTGATGGATGACCTAAAACCACTGAAATATACTCATAATGCAAGTAATTGTTAATAAATTTTATGAACTTATTACAGATGCTTTATTAACTAAGTCCTACGACATTTTTTAATAACAGAGTTTATCTCTCACTAAAGGTTCTCCAACAATCGATCACTTGATATTCTTCTATCTATCAAACAATTTGTCATTACTATCAAAGTTCATAGAAATGATCATATTTCAAGAAACACCAGAAATAAAAAAGAGTACTTTTCTTCTCAGTTCATCATTTTCATTTTAATATTCATTTATTAATGGCTTCAGTTCAGTTAATAATTAAAATTACAAAAATATCTTTCTATTTATCTGAACAGTTTCTGGATTTTTGAGTTATGATAGAATTAATTAAAAATAAATTTTCTAAATTTTGCTAAAATTATTTATTATTTTGGATTTATTGAAAATTAATAATACTCTTATCTTTTATTAATTATTTTTGAAACCTGTTCTCAAGCGAAATTCTCATCAAAATGTTTATACACTCTTTAATAAAATTAACTGCGTATAGATTTGTTGAACATTTGATGGAATGCAGGATAAAGCCAGTGCTTTAGGTCGAACTTTTAATGAAGTATCAAGTACTAGTAATTAATAGTAATTATTAAATTAGTAATAAGTAAAATCATAGTTACTTTTGAAATCTGTTAAAAATTATTTCAATCTCCATAACATCCTTGTGGTATGGTGATAAAAAGTAGGTTATTCGTTCTTATTTCAACTAAAAAACCTGGTTGAACTAAGGATTCCGGATTACAAGTTTGAATGATGTTTGTTACAGAACATTTTTTGATGTGAGTAATATTTACATTTTCTGTTGACATGAAGAAAGGATCATCATTCAATAAAATTTCGCGATAATATATAACGATATTTCTTGATTCTAAAAAGTAGCATATATTTGAAATAATTCCTAACTTTCCATTTCTCATTTGGATTATGGAGTCATTTTTTTTCTCACATCTACGGTAGCATTCTGAAGTATATCGAATATCATTACAAATCATTCGAGTAAATTTTTTACAGCTACTCGGTAAATCAATCAGATTTCGTTCTACTTCACTCAATTCATAATCACTTCCATTTCCAATTAATATACAATTTCCTTCTCTAAAATTATATTTTAATCTTCCATTTAACGTGCTGCTACAAAACTTGTTAAAATTTTCACCTTTGATGAATTTTTCTCCGAATGTTGGAAGTGATTTGTACAAATAATATTTCCTTGCAATTTGTAAAGCTACATAAGTAGGACTTTTTCTCAATTGTAAAATGAAATGATTTTCATTCTCAAAGCAAAAGGCGTTATGAGTCCATAATGGCCCCCAATTGAATACACTGGTGCGCATATGAAGAAGTAAATGTATATTATAAGTCATGGCTCTTTCTCCAAAATATTCTTGAAATAATGTAACAAATCTAATAAGTTGGCCATCCGCTGTGATGATCATCTCATTTGTTATACTTTTGGATAAAAATATATTTACAGATGAAACAAGCAATGCTAAATGTTTTAAGTATTGAGCAGGTAAAATTCCATCTAAGCAAATTAGTGAATAAAATATCAACCATGAACGCCATTCAGATGCTTTCCAAATATTTCTTTCTTGCAAGCTTCTGGGTGCTCGTGTAATACATGAAGGGTGTTTGATCGATAATAATCTCTGATTTATTCTAAGTAAATTTGTAGGAGATCCAACATAAAATTCTGCATTAACGGTAGTCAATATAATTTCTGTATACTGTTTGACAACTCCAAGCAATATTGAATGCATATAGTCAGGTACCATGCCGTCGACCAAATCAAAATATTCCAAGTTCATCAAAATGGATGGACCAAGAACACCTTTGATTTCACTTGGTGCTTGTGGATTACTTATAATTTCATTCATTGCAATTTTGATAGATCTATCTGTACGATCTTCAGGCACAGTAGTTGATATTGGATATCGTATTCCATTCAAATAATCACCTTTTTGTTCACAAAACGTGCATCCGAAATAGCCATTGTACTGTTTCATATTTAAAATTTTACAACGTGCAACGGAGTCAAAACATCCATTGAGTGGAAATATTTTGCTCGTTATTTGCCGTTTACCTAATTTCCATTGGATACCTTCACTTGATAAAGAATTTGCTTCATTAACAAATGGTTTAAAAAATAAATTCATGTTCGGTTCCACATTACTGACCCACAAACCAGTCATAATGATATGTTTTGCCCTCAACTTCGGTGGTAGTTGATGAATCATAGCGTATATCGGCCATACTGCAAGTCGACTTGATTTTGACATTTGGCACCCATCGCTATTAAATGTATAGGACAGATTATAACGGTTAGCTAAAGGTTGATTGTCAGCACTGAATTTCCGGTAAACATGACCATCATAAATATCTTCCAGTACTCCTCTATTTTGTCGATTTCGTTCAGATTCGAAAAATTTCTGTATTTCAGTATTTTCCAACAATTGTTGAAGCTGCGCTCGAAAATTTAATGTTAAGAAGAAAGATATTTTTGATTTGGGGATCGTCTCTTCGCAATTCGTACATGATAATGGTGTTGCTATTTTCAAATCTGCACGTTCTTCAATATATTGTTGACACTCAGGACAATATAGATGATATTTTACTGCATCGTCCGGTACTGACAAATTCTTCAATAATTTATATTTTGATGCTGGTACAACATTTGTTCCAAACAAGGTATTAATCATTGAAAGAATGTCAATTATTGCAGTCCATGTAAGTGAGTGTTGAGCACCTAATAAAAGTACCATCATAACAGCTTCTCCTCTCGTAGTATTAGTACATTCACATAACCTTTGGCTTAACAGAAAAGTTGCTTCGTCGTCATTATGCTAAAAGAGTGTTAATCAAAAATATTACAACTATATTTCTTCAAAATACCTATTAAATAATATTAGTTTTCTAATGGTCTTACTATGTCGTTATTCATTGACTCATCATCTTCGGCAGATTTTGAATTATCTTCAGCCTGAAAATAAAAGGAATTTTAATTACGTTGAAAACACTTTATCAATTTCAACGATTACTGCTAAATAAATGAAAGACTTCATCTGATAATTTGGGTGTAAAAGTACAATGTATATATAAATCCCAAATATCTGATTCCATCATTCACCATATACATTTAAAGACAAATAAAAAGAGATTTATCAACCAAATTTTCGTTAAAGTTTTTTGATAGTCACAGAGGTTATTTGCTTCTCATATCTTCGACGAAAATTTAACCTTTTTTCCTGTTTCTAGGTAAGAAAACAATGGATTTCTTTCCTTACAAAAGGACAAGAAATCGTTTGTGCTTATGCACAGACGGGCGTTGTCTTTTTTTAGGGAGAAAAACCCTTCTAACCTTGAAACTAAGAAAAATGATCAATTTTGGCGACAATATAAAAAAATTTCATATGTTAACTAGAGGAACGTAACAGGACGTCTTTATTCGGGTGTTTGCTACCCTCGCATACAGCTCGGGTAGCAATTATACACTCAGATAAAAAAACCCATTTTGTTTACTTGGTTAACAATATATTATTAATGATTTATGTGCAAACCAATTATTATATATTATTTATGTACTGCTAGTAGTCCCGTTGCTATTCATTACTAATTAAGAATTTTAACTATTTGGTAAAAAACTTTTAAAGAAATTTTGGTACAGCTAATTTTTTCATTTTCTTAATTTCTTACATCGAACCAAACATCTGTATCGTTGATTGTTTCATCTTCGCTGTCACTGTCTATAAAGTCAAATTGATGCCACCCACAGTGATTGTTGATAACTTTTTCTCCAATTGGTGGCGATATAGACATTCTCTCCATGTTATCGTCAGTTCGATTTGAATATTCATCATCAGAAGAAGAATGTTTAGTAGTAGAAAGATTTTCCCTTTCATTTAACTAAAAAATTGAATGTCATAATTAATTTTGAAAGATTGACAAAAAACAAGTTTTGTTATGAAACACATAGCGACACTGATCAGAATATTTTCATCCTATTGTGAACAGTTTATCCGATGTAAAATATTCCACAAAATTAATTTTTTTTATTAAAAGTATATTATTATTTTTTTTTAAGTTCTACACTGCAAATCGAAGATGATTATACATGTGTGATACCTTTCCTTTCAGATATTTTTTCGATAAAGTTAAAAGGAATCCTCTCTCGTTAAGTTTTCTAAGTCGCGACTTTCTGGTTTCGAAATCGAGTCCTACATCTGACTGATTATTGTCTTTCAGATCATCTGAATGATATTTTTTGAGATATTTAAAAAAATTTTCAAAGATATCGAAAAAGTGTCTAATGGTCTAGTCAATACGCTTTGAAAACTCTTTAATTTCATTTTATTACTCATTATTTAATTTTGTTCAATTCATTGAATAAATTGATCTTTTATTTTCCAAATTTAAGCAACTTAAGGAGGTATGGGAGGTAATCACAAATGATGAATATTAACTTTTACACCATAGATAAGTTTGATATAAGACACACAAAAAAGGTTCTCAAGGTCAAATTACTAAGGTTCGTAGTTTTCGAGAAAAAAATGATTGAAAATCCATAATTTAACATTGGTAGAGTACGAAAAACGTCACATGTCATTCTTTTTTTCACTTTTAACATATTAAAAGAAGTGGGAGATAACTTAAAATGTCGTCACATATAAATTGGAATATTTATGCCATGTTTTTGAGAAAAAAACATTTAATAGGTTCCTTATTAATATAAACAAATTTAATTAAAATATACTAAATCTATAAAATAGCTCAGCCATCATGTGAAAAATGAAAAAATTTGTTGTTTTAAATATTTTGATGATTTCTTTCGATACTTTATAGTCAAAATAACTAATTTATGAAGAAAAAAATGATTCAAGTTTAATATAAATGACATTTTTACTGTTTTTTAAAAATTTTATACAGTCCCAGAAAAAGTATAATTCATATTTTACTTAACCCTACTTTAGATATCCACTGTCGATAAAAGTTTTGATTTTTTCTGTACCTCCAGTACTTCCTTAACTGATGTCCATTCTGTTTATGTATTACAGATAGTCACAGCTTTTATTGAAAGAAAGAAATACTTAAAAAAAGTTAATTTGCCCAAAAGTTAGAGTAATTTGTTTATTATACAGTCACACGAGTTCCGATTAAACAATTCATATTTTGAAAACTATTCATCGTAAACAGTTCGAACTGAACTCATTGTATTTTTCGATAAATTCTCTAAAAATCTTACACAAGATGTATGTATATTCGGTTTCCGATATATTTCCTCGTGATATGTAATTAAAAAAAAGGTAAAAAATAGCTTATTTTAAAAAAAGAGTTCATGCGAATTGTGCTTATAAATGTTAGTCACCCTTTATAAGCTTGAAAACATTGGTTTTGAAATAAAATCGATTACGACTGAAATTCACACACTTTACTTCTGAAATTCCTAAAAATAGCGTGTGTGCATGTTTCATTCGTTTTTATGTTTGTGAAATCTGTTTCCAAGCATTTACACACATATTTCGGTTAAATCTCATACATTTGAGTTTGCAGTGTATTCACAATGAATCATTTAATTATAACTAACGACAGATTAGCGATCTCGGAAGAAAACATCTTTCATCTAATAAAGTTATCTCCAGTCGAGGATTTAAACCTACGATTGCTCGCACATGTGCGATTCACCACGCGACATGAATGCCGTCCGATTTAAGTTTTTTTTTTAGGTTATACATGAGATTCCCTATACTTTCTTATACCGAACTGAGACAGCATTTATGTCGCGTAACGTATATGGATTATATTTTAATCGTATATTTAACGTATGTTACTTACGTTCAATAAAGATTGTTCTTGTTCAGAAGATTCTATCTGTTTTTTTAATCGAAAAGCTGTCGTCCGTGGCATCGGTTCATTGTTGTGTGGATCCAAATATCTTTCATAACCTTTTCCTTCCATGATTCAAATATAGTTTATATATTTTTATGTAACAAATTAATTAAAAAAAAAATAATAATTTGTTCTTAATGTATACAAATGTGATAATAAAATTTATGTATGGTATAAATAATTAACAATAATTCGTTTTTTAAACAAAAATGAGTAACACCTAAACCGACAACCTACAATTCGAGTATGGTCGATCTTCTACCTAAAACCATGCTATACGACTCTAAAATATCGTATGAACAACACGCCCCCATCACGAACGCATCCCCATTACGAACGCGTCGTCCCCATTGCCAACTAACAAACACATTTGAGAAATAGTCGAAAGAACTTGATGATAAATTCGAATATGATAATTAAGATATTAGATAACACTGCCCGAGTCTGAATTTTACTCTTATTTTGCCGCTGAACCTCCTGAAGTCAGAAGCATCAGCGGGAAAAAATTATTTTTTCGTATAAGAAAAATAATATAAAATATTTTTATATTTTGCCGCTAAACCCCCTTCATAATTCCCGATTCAGGGGCTTCAGCGGCATAATATTTTTAAAAAATTCAGGGGCTTCAGCGGCAAAAATAATTTCAAGGGGTTTAACGTAAAAAAAAATTCAGGGGGTTCAGTGGGATTTTTTCATTCAGGGGGTCTAGCAGGAAGTAGAGAAAAATCGTTGGTGTTCCCGGCGGTCACCCATCCAAGTTCTGTACACGAGAAATTTTGCTTAACATCGAGAGATCGAGTACAGGTTCCTGCATCCACTGCGCTGTGTCGAATTTATAAATCTACTTATTTAAATTCACAATAATGAATATTATAAATGAAATACTATTAATATTCGGGTTTTATATTATTTTTCTTATACGAAAAAATAATTTTTTCCCGCTGATGCTCCTGACTTCAGGAGGTTCAGCGGCAAAATAAGAGTAAAATTCTGACTCGGGTGATATTTGTGATATACACAGATGGAAGAGATTTATTACTCTTAAGAAATGATTTATTACTAGTGAAAATAAATGCTCTTCAACTGATAAGAAATATTTTAAAATAGTAAAAAAGCATTGGTTATGAACGCATTAGTAGATTTAAATATCTAATTGTCAATTTTATCGTCATTAAATATTTCTTAACAGTTAATAAAGCAGTGTCTGCCTTAGTATAACTGCCCTATACTTTTCTTCTATTAATAGAAATATTCATGAAATGGAACCAAATCTTCACCTCATTTATATATCATGTCATTCCATAGAAGTGAAACAATATAATTCACGATAAAACATGGATTGCTATGTTTAATAATTAATATATGATTTTGTAACTGTTAATAAGCCGTCGTAACTATTACATATTTCTATATATGTGTATAGTACCATATCAATATTAATGGATTGAAGTATATACATACTTTTAACTACTGCCGTAATAAAATGATTTATTTTTAAACATATTCAATTTCATTTGCTTATGCATTATAATTATAATGTTAATTTGCACGAGAACGTATTTTTTATTCCACCAACGAAAATAATTTATCATATTGTACTTTGAATAAATAAAGTACAATAAATAAAAGGTGTAAATTTCTTCTTAGTCACATGATTTACTATTACTTTTGTATGTTTTTGAATAGAAACTGTTCGTTTTCTATAAATAATTTTAAATTATTGAAGAACAATATAATTCTATCTAATTATATCCAACTACTTAGTATCAATTTATATACATATACATTTTTTTTAAGAAACACAAGAGGAATTGGAGAATATAATTGCAGAAAAAAGAATACCTGATCCGAAAATAAACGACTCCGATAAAATTGAAGATATTATGGATACAGATGATGAAACTGATGAAACGTCAAAAAACGATGATGACGGTAAAAGTGATAAAGACGAAGAGGAAGTGATTAAGGTACAAAGAAAGGTAAATATATTCATCATTTTTTAAATATGAAACTTGTTTATTGTTTCAATAAAAAAGACTTTTAATTTATTGAAAATTCAGCATTTTTATTATTACGTAAAAAAATAATTTCGGTAATCCTTTTGAAATAGAAGTTTTTCAATGAGTTCAATGTTATGACAGTTATTTATGGGTCTTAATTACACTCATAGCTTTGAATAGTTATTATGATTCAGTAGAGTGGATAGTACAGTTTTTGAGTAGAGCTATAGTTGTTTTCATGATGATTGTGAGATCGAATGAGTCCGTCAAATTTTGTTTCTGCTTTTAATACACCTGTAGTTTGATCATTAATTATTTGCGTTTATGTATTAAGAATTACAGCAAAAGGTGAAGAGTATAGAAATCCGGAAATCTTAAATATAATGTTTTACGTCTATTATTATTACTGTCTATACTTTACTTGCTAATTCCAAAAGCGGAAAGGTACGGAGCCATTACAATAACAACTTCACCCTGATAATAAAGTATCAGAAGAAATTACTGAAAAGTAGTGATAAGTTCTTGTTGAATTTGATCTAATACTTGCACTTAATTTCCACTAACATAAATCTTCAATAGCTTACTTTACTATTACAATTTTCTCCTCATAATCACCTTTATTTATTTTAAGAGATAAAAATTTGTGTCTTTTTAGTCTTTTACAATGGATAACTAACAATATTTTTTATGTCTCATTTATTGATAAAGTGATAATTTAATAATATTTATTAAAATCTATTCAACGACAGCTTTCCTTACCACATTGAAAATATAGCAAAATTATATAATTTATTTATTTTTATTTACAAATTTTACAACCATTACAACTTTGATTATGACAGTAATATATATACATAATGCCTTACAGAAGCTTGAGACAAAAAAAAAAGCAGTAAAACGGAAGATGGCTGAGGCCATTATAGATGCCCACGAAAAAGCCCGAGCTAGTACAAGTGCAGACACTGAAGATGTGAGTAGCCATTATTTAATATTCCTCTAATTTTAGAAATGTTTAATACACAAAATAGTTTGACCGAAACTTTTTTCAACTATCCTTTTTTTTTATAATGCAAAAGACATAAGGTCCTTAAAAACATTTATACTGTTAGTATGGTTTGATTAGATGTTTTTTACAATAATTGTTAAACTTGGCTAGTTTTGCAAAAACAATTACATGATGCACAAATACATAAACTATATTACTTACAGAAATTGTCGGGTTACAGCCATATATATAAAAGAAAATTCTGTAGAGCCAATAAACTGTCGTCTTGAAACCTCTCCCTACAGTTGATATTTTAAAATCATTTAATTGTTGATTTTTCAGGTGGTTGAAATAGATAACTCAGCCTCAACCATAGAAGCACCACCACTGAGATTACTTTTACCGAACAACTTGAATTTGAATAATGAGGCGAATCTCACTGTAGGAACGAAAAGATCCGATCTTATTTACTTGGGAGAGGGCGAGTGGATTAGAGAAGTTGCTTATAATAAATCAAAAAGTCAAGTTAAACCAAGTCTCTTCGTTACGAAATTAGCTTATGCCCTCTGGGGGTACGAACAATTGGCTAATAGATCTGTCGCTCACATAGAAGGGAGAGAGAACCGTCCACTTCTCGAAGAAAATAAAAAGTTAGTTGTAATAAATCAGTTTGAGAGGTATCTTAGACACCGCGATAAAATGACACAAACTGTTGAAATGAAGAAAGTAAATGCTTACCTGGGAGGAGCTATTAAGGGCGCCAGAGGAAAGATAGCGAGAAGAAATCGTAAGCGCACAAACAGCGAAAACGATTCTGATGAAAATAATTAATACTAATGCGTAAATTCAATTGATGATTTTAAATAACTCAATAAGCGAAATGTCCAAGATGCTTATTCTTTCATTATAGTTTTGCCATTATGATGAAAACATTAAAAAATGTAAATTCTTTATGATGACAGGACTATGATGAAAACGTTGGAATCTAGGACATTTTGGCTATTTGAATTATCGAAAATCATCAATTCAATTCGTCCAAAGAGTACAAGAGATTAACATTTTTTTTTTCATTTAATTTCTATTGAATATTTCTTGAGATAAATGATTGATAAACCTACCTCTTTAAGGTAATGACTGATGTTATGTTAAGTTGAACATTAATCAGTATTTGCAATATGGTTACCCCGATATTGTAAAACCATCACTAGTGGTTTCTTCTAATCATAGATATAAGCTATAAATATTTTTTATTACGAAAAGTTTTATAAAAAAGTTATTCTGTTTTATTTAATGTAATTTTTTTGTTCTTACAAATAATGTACAGCATAGAGAGATTTAAATGATTTGCATAGACTGAGAGTTTTAATGATCAATGTTCATTTCTCTATAAAGTTTAGCAATAATTTACTTTATAATTGATTTAATGATTTTTAATACTTCAATAGGCGAAATGTCCAAGATGCCTATTCTTTTAACATAGTTTTGTCATTATGATGAAAACATTAAAAAATGTAAATTCTTTATGATGACAGGACTATGATGAAAACGTTGGAATCTAGGACATTTTGGCTATTTAAATTATCGAAAATCATTCATTTAATTTATTTATGAAGTATATAAGATTTTGGTTTCATTTTTTAATTCCTATTGTAACTCTATTGTATTATATTCATAAGATACTTTATAATTTTATAATTTTGCAATAAATATGTTTCTTTGATGAATGCAACTATCTCAGATTAATTTCAATTTTTTTTTCAACTTATTCCGAAAATTACTCCACATTTCTGATTTTTTCTGAAATATTCTGAAATGTAAGAATTTAAAGTCCATATTTTATATTTATTGTTTCTGAAATATCCTGAAATATTCTGAAATGTAAATATTTAAAGTCCATATTTTATATTAATTGTCTCTGAAATATTCTGAAATGTAAAAATTTGAAGTCCATATTTTATATTGATTGTTTCTGAAATATCCTGAAATGTTAAAATTTAAATTCTATATTTAATTTTGATTTACTCTGAAACTCTTTGAAAATCTCAAAAATTTCACTTTTTATTTTCCTGATTATCGTTTATTTATTCAGAATTACTCTGAAAACTCCATATTTCTAAATTTTTCCTTCTGATTGACTCTGAATCTTTCTGAAAAAGTATGTTCCAATTACGACAACGTTTCAGAGTACTTTTCCGAGTTCTTCAGAACAAATATTGAACATTTCAGAACCTTTCAGAACTTTTTTCCGAATTTTTTAGAATATATCAGAAAAAATATTTCCACACGGGTGTAGCTTATAATTTTCAAGCATCATTTATATAGTTGGGACTATAATAGCTCAGTGGTTAGAGTCCCGACCTTTTATTTTGCTGGGCAGGGTTCGATCCCAGTCATAGGCAATTTTTTTTTCTGTTTCTTGTTCAAGTGTCTTTATATACTTATAAATCAATTCATATATTTTATTACATTATTCTTCCAATTAATTACGAAAAAAAACTTGTTTTTCTGAAAATAAGCTGAGGGTGAGGAACGAGTTACTATGAATTCTCTTTTTTAGAAAATGTTGTCTTTAAAAGACACTAGGAATTGATTTTGAACTTATACAAACAACCAATTATTGTATTTATATAAAATTTTAATGAAAAAAAAATTGGCTATAACTGGGATCGAACCCTAATCGGTAAAATGAAAGCTTGGTGTTCTACCTACAGAGCTAACATATTATCTCTGACATCATGTTTATGTTTATAAATTGTATAATGCAGGCTTGAGTACGAAGGGTAGGGATAGAGTTTGCCGGCGAAGTGCCGGAAATCCCCGTGGATTATTTCAACTACTTCTAAATATTTCTAAATTGCTTAAAAAAAAGCTACGTTCATATAGCTATAGTAAAAAAAGTGTTTATAACCCCGTTCATGTTTTCCGACTCGGCGTCGATAAATTACATAAATAATTGAGAAAAAAAAATCAAATCGTTGGTAAGAATTCATTTTAGCATGTTAATATTATAATTACATGCAAATCTAACAAATGAAAAAGAAAAAAAAAACTTTACCATGACTGGAATCGAACCCTGCCCATCAAAATGAAAGACCGATGCGCTAACCACCGAGCTATTATGATTACAAAACATTTATATATGCTCAAAAATTATAAGCTGCAGGCTTGGGCATAGAGAGTGGGGGTAGAGCTTGCCAGCGAAGTGCCGGAACTCGCCACGGATTGTTTAAACTACTTTTCAATGTTAATAATAATATGATTAACTTGTTAATAAGATGTTAATAACATAACATTGTTAATACATGTAAAGATGTATAAGTTGTTAAACACAGGCTATTATCAATGTATTTATACAAAAAGAAAGTTTATGGCTCTGTTCAAATATTTTTCGACTTAGCGTCAATAAATTCAATGAATAAAGAGAAAAAAAAATCAAATTGTTATAAAAGATTAATTATAGCATGTCAATATTATAATTACATGCTAATCTAACGAATAAAGTAGAAAAAAAAAATTGGTTATGACTGGGATCGAACCCTGCCCGGCAAAATAGAACTCTGACGCCCTAACCACATGGCCAGCATAATCTCGATATTGAGTTAATGTATATTTGTTTTTATACTACATGCTTGGATACGCCGACTTGGAATTGAGCTTCCTTATTAACATTTATACCTAATAAAAATGATAATAATGGATGAATATATGTATTTGAAGTTATTTGCAGGTATTATATTAATTAATGTTAAATGAGTATCATCATTTTTATTTATCCTAACTGCAATAGTCATCAAAGTGTAGGGCATTGTAAAGTGATACACTATGTTTACATCACATACATATATAACCCGTACACACACATGCAGAATTTACTCGCCAAAATGCAGGGCACCATCAGTTCTGGATACGGATTTTTTCAATATGGATGACTGAGGTCATCTGCGGGAGCGTGACATCCGTCCCCAATAAGATGTCAGTCAAAGGCATTTTTACAATCTTTTAAATTTAAATTTTTAAATGTATAATCTTACTGATTGTCAATCAAATTCTATGATGCCCAGATTTTTCATCTAATGATCATTTTAAAAATAAGCTTTATTCTTTTAATCTTTTAAAATTAGGTTTTTTTATTTTCAATCATTTAATATTCAATCAAATTATAAAAATTCTTCTTTTTTTAATGTTTATCATTTCGTTGAACAGTCAACTTAAGAAATTAGGACTGGTAAATTATCTTGCGTCGGTATAGTAAAAAAATAAAATTCAACTAGTGTCATTGTTTTCTGATAGATGAAAGTAATTGCTCTGTTTTCAATCAAAAATTCAAAATCCTTATACAAAGAAAAGTCTTTTTTCTGGCTCATGTGATGTCATACAATTCCTACTACATAAATAAGGATGTTTAGACTTATAATCTAATGATAATAACATTTTGATCTTCATGTCAACGTAATTCAAGTGAAAAAAATTTGAAAACTGAATTATTAAAAAGTTGAAAAACTTCAAAAATAATGTCTGTCAGTATTATTCTCTTCTTTAATAAACATAAACAATTTTTGTGCAACGAAAAAAAAAAAGTTTTATTACTTAAGTTTTTATAAAAATAAATCAGTATTTGTAATGAATACCTCAATTTACCTGAATTTAAATATAAATATAATATGAATATAAATTTATTAATAAATTTTAATATAAATCACTAGTCAGCTTTGAGTAAATAAATTGTGGCCATTAATGTTGGTAGGAAATGAGTACATCCTTCCTGTTGAATGATATTATTTTTTATGCAAAATTGTATATATGAGTTATATCTTATTTTATCTTACCATTGAAATACGATATCAACGATAATAAATACTGATTTTTTTTACTTAAGTGAGACAGAAATGAACATATTACTTGTAGACATAATCCGTGATGAAGTTTGAACTCTATTGAGTTTGATACAATCATTGGATATCCGAAAATAAAATTATAAATAAATTACCACTCTTCCTACATTCATGATAATAGATGATATTTTTGTTCGATTATATAAAAAAAATGCTCCTTCTTTATTACTGATAACTTTTTTATCAGTTCAGGATTTTCTGCTATAATAACTGGATGACTTGGTTTCTTTCTTGTAACTTCACGTATAATCTTCATTGAAGTTACATGGCTATTTTAAATTGTCATTCATTATTATCATTAGATTATAAGTCTAAACATCCTTATTTATGTAGCAGAAATCGCATGACATTACATGAGCCAGAAAAAAGACTTTTCTTTGTATAAGCATTTTGAATTTTTGATTGAAAACAGTGCAATTACTGTCATCTATCAAAAAACAATGACACTAGTTGAATTTTATTTTTTTACTATACCGACGCAAGATAATTTACCAGTCCTAATTTCTTAAGTTGACTGTTCAACGAAATGATAAACATTAAAAAAAGAAGAATTTTTATAATTTGATTGAATATTAAATGATTGAAAATGAAAAAACCTAATTTTAAAAGATTAAAAGAATAAAGCTTATTTTTAAAATGATCATTAGATGAAAAATCTGGGCATCATAGAATTTGATTGACAATAAGTAAGATTATACATTTAAAAATTTTAATTTAAAAGATTGTAAAAATGCCTTTGACTGACATCTTATTGGGGATGGATGTCACGCTCCCTCATCTACGAGCATAATGCTGTCACCTATCAGAATTTTTTCAAACTAATTTTCCGGAGAATATCATCTGGAATACAAGATTTCTAATTATTTCTAAATTATTCAATTTTATACTATGAATTGATTTTTTTAACATTCAGACAGGTGGCAAGGACTGACGCAAACACGAATTTTGGGCGAAAAACGTATAAAAATGAAATAATTAGTGATTTTTCATCTGAATGATGTGGCCGCCATCTTGAAATTTAAGCGCGGCAAGTCAATTCATAATTTTTCCATTATTCTTTCTAATTTTTTTAATAAAAATATTCACTATATACAAAAAATTGTTGTTTACGTCAGTCCGGCATTAATTCCTCTGTAATTTGGTACCTAATTTTATATAAATAATTGTAAATTGGCGAAGAAATTAGAAATTTCCCGATCCCATGTATTTGGATAGGGGGAATCAGTTGCCTTTCTGACTTCAGCCCAGCCTTAATCGAAAAATACAATTTTTAATTGTTTATGACAAATTCATAATTTCACCAATCGATCCAATTTCAATAACTTTTTAATGGGAAGTTAATAAAAATCTCAAAAAAGTCATTTTTTACTAAGTATCATTCATTATAAGTCCAGTTTTCATGAGCCGTTAGTTTTGAAATCATTATTATAATTTTATTACTGCGTTTTTGTTACCAAACTTTATATTTTACTCCTTATATGATTTTTTAGATCATTTATAATTATCTTTTATACGAAAAAAACCAATAAATAAATTACATTCTGAGGTGAATAAATTGAAGGTGTAAATACCCCAATACCAGAGAAGAGAGACCAGTACTGATCTCTCTTCTCTGCCAATACAGACGGCCCAGCCTTTATAAAAAAATACCAATAGCGCCATCTGATGTTTATACATTAAACAACAAAAAAAAATCAGAAACTTTTCAATATGGCAGCTGACATGTAAGTCATGAAGACTATAGACAGAGAAAAGAAATAATACATAGAAGAACCATCCCAATGAGAGCTGTTGGACGGTAATTTTTACCTGCTGTTATATGGCTGGGGATACAAAGCAAATGCTACAATGCCATATGTATCCCCAAGAATTCGTCCAACGGATCCCTATGCGGTGGCTCTTCTATATTATTTCTTTTCTCTGCTATAGACTACATTATAATACATGTATTATACTACATTATAATACAATGTATACACGTACGTGGTACGTAGAGATGTGAATCGGTAATTGACGGGTAAATTTACCGTAAATTACCGGTAAAAAACGCGTCAATGACCAAGCCTGTTTTACCATACCGGTCAGAAAAATGCTGATCTCTGATTGGTTAATACATGTCCAATCACAGTTTAGAATTTCCAACGGCATACAACTGTTTATTTGTTCTATCAGGTATATATTTTCATTTTTATTTGTTTATTAAAAATACTGATAATATTTAATATAAGAAAATTCAATTTGTAGATAAGGATTTTCATTGAGAACTTGGTGCAATGGGGGAGAACAAATCAATATATAAACATTTCTCTGCATTACCTCTGCAACCTAACCAAAAATCGTATTCATGTAACTATTGCAAGAAAAAGTATGCAGAAAACATTACTCGCATGCGAAAACATCTTTATAAAGAGTGTAGAAGTTGTCCTCAAGACTTACGGAAACTTTTAAAACCATGTAAACCTCGTAAACGAAATAATTCTCATCTAAACAGCACAGACGACTCATTTACTATTGAAGATTTGAATGAAGCAGACAATAGAGCAAGTACTTCAATGATTTCAAATGAAAATTTACCAAATAATATAAGTGTTTGTAGCAATAACTATAAAAAAAATACAATCGATAGTTTTTGTGATAAAATGTCAAAAAAAGATGAAGATTCTCTACAAGAACTACTTGCAGAAGCGATTTATGCATCTGGTACACCATTATGTATAACAGAAAATCCATATTGGCTAAAATTTTTTAACGCATTACGGCCTTCATTTAATTTGCCATCAAGAAATCAAATATCAAATAATCTTTTAGATTCAGTATTCGTTAGAACACAAAATATGGTTAATGAAAAAATTGAATCTGCTACTACTGTTGGAGTGCAATGTGACGCATGGTCTAATATTCGCAAAGAAGGAATCATCAATTTTATTGTAACAACCCCAGCGCCAGTTTTTTTCAAAACATTTCCAACTGGAACCGAATCACAAACTGCCTTATATATTTCTGAAAAAATAGAAAGTGTTATTGATGCTTTGGGAATTAAAAAAGTTATCGGAATTTGTAAGGTATTAAAAGATTTAACAGATTATGTGTCAGAATCAAGTATGTGGAGTTACGACTACGTTAAGCGAGCAAGTATAATCACTTCAGCATGTCAATGGTGGCAAAGTATTTGCCAAAAATCTTCGTTGAGCAAAATAGCTGTGGCTATATTGACTTTACCTGCAACATCAGCTGCAACCGAGCGTTCCTTTAGTACACAAGGATGGATTCATTCATCTAAAATAAATAAGTTAAGTATCGATAGAGCTGGAAAAATAACATACATTGCAAGAAATTTAAAATTACTTAATCCTTCACCAAAAAATACAGAAGAAGAATGGGAAGAAGATGAGGAAAGTAATAAAGGAGAGGATGAAATAAGTGAAATTTGTGCTGAGCATGAAGAAGTTGAATTTTTAGAAGAAGAATTTACTCAAGACTAATTAGTGATGTTGATGGAATTGAATCAGTATTAGACTTGTTATTTCCTAATGAAATATGTCAATTATTATGTGATATTACTAATTGATAGAAACTATAGATTATATGGTTTTATTTTTTCATAAATAATTTACATAAAAGTTAAAAAAGTCAAATTCTTTATAATATGTAATAACGAAGGATTATCTATTTTATAAAAAAAAATGTACCAAAAACTTAACTAAATAAACGTTTATAATAATTTTCAATATATTTATTATTTCTGTCCTAACAGTCAAAAATGTAAAATATTTTTTTTATTACAAATTACAAAATTTTTTTTTCATCTTATAATAATTAATTAGTTTTAAATTAACAAGTGCAAAAAGCAAAATTAACTTAAGCAAATTGGCAAGCAAGTTCGAAAGCAAGCCATTTCCTCGGTAAAAAGCTCATCATATTCATCTATATAGATGCGAATGACCGGTAATTTACGGTAATTACGCTGACCGACGGCTTGACGGTAAATTTTACATTCAGAATTTTTTGACATCAGAATACCGTCAGATACCGGTAATTTTACGTGGTAATTACCGAATTTTCTATTACCGGTAAATTCACATCTCTAGTTATACTGTTGGCATTATCGTCTGTTCATCGAAACGTCACCAAACACCGAAAGAGCTGAAATGTGGCTATAATTTTACTAGTTGAAAATTGAAATATTTGTGTAAATATTTTAACAGTAATTTGGTGTATTATAAAGATTTAATTTTCTAATATTTTAATGAGATTTCAGCAATCTTTGGGGTATTTTCCCCAATCTAATTTCAATAGATATTTTGTTCAATCAGTATTTTTGTGTACTAATTGAGAGTTTCCTAACGAATCAGTATGAATTGGACACGTCAAATTTTGTGCTTCCTAGTTTTAAGTTTTATACACGTCATATATGCCGATGAACACAATCATATCGTAAGTATTTAATATAAAAATCAACGTTTGATAAAAATTATGTTAATGCTATAATTATATTGTAGATGATAATTGTAACTTAGTCAATTTATAATTTTCAGTATAATGATAATGAAGAAGTTGTTCTATGGATGAGTACTATCGGACCATATCATAATAGGCAAGAAACTTATGCTTATGACTCCTTACCATTTTGTTCTGGACCTAAAGAAATGATTGGCCATTACCATGAAACTCTATCTGAAGCCTTACAAGGCATTGAACTTAAATTTAGTGGCTTAGAAATAGATTTCAAAGGTACCAATTGATATAATTCTTTATTATTTGCATAAATATGTAGGTTCATATTCAGTTCAATTATCTTATATTTTATATTTAGTTCCAGTCTCTAAAACTGTCTTTTGTGGAATAGACTTAACTGAAGATAGAGTTAAAGCATTTGTATATGCAATCAAGAACCAATATTGGTACCAAATGTATATAGATAATCTTCCTATGTGGGGTAAGAATACTTAATATTATTATGTTCAATTTCATAATTTCAATATTTATTATTGATAGGAATTGTTGGGCAACTTGAAAAATCTGATGATGGAATATCTTATTACATTTATACACATAAAAAATTTGATATTGGATACAATGGAAGACAAATAGTTGATGTTAATTTAACAAGTGACATAACTAGAGTTAAACTAATACCTAATGCTCATATCACATTCAGTTATGAAGTCAACTGGATTAAAAGCAATGTCAAATTTGAAGATAGATTCGATAAGTATTTAGATCCTAATTTCTTCCAGCATAGAATTCATTGGTTTAGCATCTTCAATAGTTTTATGATGGTTATTTTTCTTGTTGGACTTGTATCAATGATATTAATGCGCACTTTACGAAAAGATTATGCTCGATATAGTAAAGATGAAGAAATGGATGATATAGAAAGAGATTTAGGTGATGAATATGGTTGGAAACAAGTTCATGGAGATGTTTTTAGACCTGCTAGTCACCCAATACTTTTTTCAGCTTTAATTGGTGCTGGCTATCAGGTATTAAAATATTAAAATAATAAAATATCAGGTAGTAACATATTTTAAATAATAAATTATTTATTTTTTAATCAATTTTAGGTGACTGTTGTTGTACTTAGTGTCATAATATTTGCTATACTTGGTGAGCTTTATACTGAACGAGGATCAATGTTATCAACGGCAATTTTTATGTATGCTGCAACATCTCCAGTAAATGGATATGCTGGAGGTGGACTTTATGCACGAATGGGTGGACGTTTGTGGATAAAACAGATGCTTTTGAGTGCATTCATGTTACCACTTCTTGTATGTGGCACTGCATTTTTTATCAATTTCATTGCAATGTACTATCATGCAAGTCGTGCTATTCCTTTTGGATCTATGGTAATTATCTATTAATTTACCAGAATTACTCATTTGTAATCATTTTGATAGTAAATGATTACAATAATTGTTTGTAAAGTAAAAAATTTTTTTTTTTGCTATTTATGATTTTTAATCGAATCCTTTAACATATTTTTGTTTATAAATCAAATTGTGTTTTTAGGTTGCAGTTACTTGTATTTGTGTGTTCGTGATTCTTCCGCTTACATTAGTGGGTACTATTTTAGGTCGAAATCTAGCCGGTACACCTGATGCACCTTGCAGGGTAAATGCTGTTCCTAGACCAATACCAGAGAAAAAATGGTTTATGGAACCACTAGTGATTATACTTCTCGGTGGCATTCTTCCTTTTGGCTCCATCTTCATTGAAATGTACTTTATTTTTACTTCATTTTGGGCATATAAAATTTATTACGTTTATGGATTCATGCTCCTAGTGTTTGTAATTCTTATGATAGTAACTATTTGTGTTACAATTGTTTGCACTTACTTTTTACTCAACGCTGAAGATTACCGATGGTAAATATTTTATATTGTATTATTATTGATATTGATACATTTTCATTTTAAAAATTTTTACAGGCAATGGACAAGTTTCTTAGCTGCAGCATCTACTGCTGGATATGTCTACATTTATTCATTCTACTATTTTTTCTTCAAAACAAAGTAAGTTTTTTAATGGTAAACGATAAATCAATTGCTGAAAACTATATAAAAAATATAATAAAATAATTTTCAAAAAGAAAGTATTTTAAAAATAAAAATTTATACTTTAATGAAATTAAAAATTATCAAGATTACAGAAATTTGATCACTTTATCACTTACTGTTCAATAACTAATATTGATCGTAATTAATTTAACACATGTGTTCAAATTTAATCTCATTTAAACTATTTTTTCTATTTTAGAATGTACGGTCTCTTCCAAACTGCTTTTTACTTCAGTTACATGGCGCTATTTAGCTTAGCTCTTGGTATTATGTGCGGTACAGTAGGATATTTTGGTACCAATGCATTCGTCCGAAAAATATATTCTACTGTTAAGATAGATTAAGCTAAATGTCATTGGTATTTGTTGGAAAATAATGTATATTAATTATGACTCATATTAAAATCAATTGAGTGTCAAACTGTCCCACATCAGATAGTTCTTATTGGCACTATAATCCAAATGAATTCTTATGAGCCAGTATTTTCCACTTACTATCATTGAAAGCATCTCCCATAAGTGATCATGTTAATTAATATGTGGAAGAAAAGACGAATTTGGAACAAATAAATAAATTTAATCGCTGTAAAAATCATTATTTTTCAAATTCTCTTTTTTGAATTAAATAAACACGAAAGAATGAATGACATTGTTAATATTAAATATGGTATCATTACAAGTCAACTGTAGACAAAAAGTGTGTAAGTGAATTGTTGATCTAAGACAATTTTGTTTATCACAGAAAACTACTAAAGTAGCGTATAACAGCTTAAACACCATTCTTGAATGTGGATATATTTCTATAAAAATGCACAAAATTTATTATATTTAAATCAACGATATTTTTCATTATAATTATTAAAATAATGACAAATACGATAATTTGTCGATAAAGAAATACCAGACATTTATGATGTTTTCATTGCGTACATATATATGTAATTAAAGATTGTACGACTGTTATTGACAAAATAGTTATTTCATAATATTGTCAATGTCAGTCTTCATTTTTTCAAACATATTTATAAGATTATTGATTAATTTTACCAATAATTATATTAGATTAAAAAAATTAATGATTGAATGTGGAGGTACAATAGACCCATAGATTTGTACAAAGTTTTTATTGAAAAATTATTTTATCTCCTGAAAAGATTGTGTATTCTATAACACTTTATCCTTTAAAAAATTGTTATTTATATATTATTATTTATTTTGTGAAAACAAATACAATTTTCCATTAAAATAAAATGATTTTCACCTTAGCCGTAGGTGAGAATAACATATGTGATTCGAGATAGCCTAACATCTTTCCATTCTTTCATAGGTTTATGTACTATTTTTTATCATACTTGTGTAGGAAGTTCGATAATTTCTATTAAAAAAACCTTAATACACCGAATCGACCAAAATATTGTTTATTAATTTTTTCCATAACATATTAATTTATTATTAAATTGGCAGATTCGCATAAATTATTTCTCAAACACAAAAACCTAGTCATTTTTTTCTATTTTTTAACAAATAAAAGATAAGTAAGAACCTAACATTTGTGAAGTTGAATCGATTTTTCTATATTTTGATAAACTTCAATTTGTCTTATTCATTGATATAATTAATATTTTCAATGTAAATTCTATATTCTATATAGATTATAAATATGATTAAAATAGTGTGATAGTTGATTAGCTGGCGTACTTTATTATCCTGTTAATAAGGCACAAATAATAAACAGAACTTCGAAAGTTAAACTCATGAACAGTAGTGTATCAAAAAGAAAAACATGTAAATAGTAGTATAAAAGTCGACAAATAAGACAGATCGTAAAAATTTGATAAATTGTTTATTTTGTATATTAAATATTTACATTTTTAAAATTATATATTTCTATCATACAAAATTATTTAAGTAATAATTGCTGTCGTCAAAACAGTAACTCTAGGAAAATTGAAGTAAAGTGCATAAAATGCTGAAACGAAGAAAACATTCAAAGGTACGTATTATAATTTCTACATTAATAAATATCGTTGCATTCTTCATTCATTTGCTTATTTTTCATATTATAATTTTTCAAAAAGTATTTTAATTATTTATGCAAAAAAAGAGAAATTAATTTTTAAATATGTTAATTTTATTAATGCATTAATTAATTATTGGTTGTTATCAACATTATTGATGATACTAATGAATATTTTCCGATCCTAAGCATGATGTCATCACAACAAAAGAAGAAATGTCTACTTCTTATAATAGTGGTTCAATAAATTAATTTATTATATTTGTGGTCATTGCTCCGAACCAATCACAATTCGATGTAACTTGGTCGTCATCTGAAAGATTAGTTTTTTTTCAGGTATTTGATACAGTAAACAAAACGACTTCTGAAAAATTAAACGTAGTTCCGATCAAGAAGCGTAAACGAGCCAACGATGTAATTGACAGTATGGGTGATAATGAGAAAGAGTTTTCCACGACATGCAGAACTTTACGTCAATCGACAAAAAAGCTTTACGATACGGTTCGAAATTGTTCATTTTATTTAAATATATGTTCAACAGATATTTTTTAAAAAATTTTTTTTTCTTTATATATATTTTTTTCTCACAATGTTGTAAAAATTTTCATGGAAGTTATCGTTTTAAACTAGAACTTATCAAATCATGGTTATTCAAGTACTTCGCAAGGTGAAAATGTCTTAAAACCAGAATGGATGATTGGAAAAAGTAAATCATTTGATTGTTTTGACGCTGGACCATTTACAGTTACAAAACAAAATCGTCTACCAGTTCATAAGTATTATTAAAAAAATCTATCTTTATATTTATGTTATTCTTTTAAAAATGATTTCAATCTATTTTTTAAGCTCAACTTACTCTTAAAAGAAACAATCACAAAACTTTCTCTCAAACGATAAATTTATCACTTTAATTATCAGATACTTGATTTAAACTTGTAAAAGATTACAAAAGAGAGACTAATTATTAAATGAATATTTTAAATTTTTAATTTCGATTTTGAATTCCCAATTTTTCTAAATAACAAAATGTATTTATTTAGTTTGTAGCATTTCTCAAAAATGTTAATTTATTTGTTCAAATGACAGAACGTTGAGTGAAATTAAAGCAAAAATGGTGGTGAATATAGACTCGGATTGTTATAACATGAATCATAAAAATCGAGGAAAGTGTGTCATATTCAATCATGAAGTTTTTGATACTGGATTTGATAGCAGAGTTGGATCATCTTTAGATGCCAAAAGAATTGAGAGGACGTTTACGAAACTCGGCTTTAATGTGGAGATTTTAGATAATTTGAAGCATAATGACGTCATGTTTAAAATTGCTGAATGTGTGTTTCTGAATTAATATACTTGATAAAAAAAACTATTTTTTATTATAAAAAATTGGCTATTTTATTGAAAATTTTTTAATAAAAATATCTTAAAACTATATAAAGATTTGATTTATATGTAATGAACATCAATTACGTGATACAAAAAAATACAATAATGAAATGATATTTCTCTTGATTGAATTTAATACTGTTTGTTTTATCAAAATTATTCATCTTATATCTGATGAATTATATAACAGGTAGATAAATCACATGTACAAGTAGAATACAGTCAATTTTAATGATTATCATTTTCAATAAAATAATTGATTTTTTATTAAATCTGAAAAATTGTCATAATTGAGATTTTTTTCCAAATAAAGTTTTATTTTTAGTGAGCGAAGACAATCATGATGACAATGATTGCATATGCATATTTATGCTTACCCATGGTCTTTCCCCTGATATGATATTTGCAAAAGACGTAGCATATAATCTAGAAAATATTTGGAAACCTTTTACGGCTGATAAGTGTGCGAGTTTAGCTGGGAAACCTAAACTTTTTTTTTTTCAAGTACATAAAAATCTTTCAATTGATATACATGATTGATTATAAAAATTCAAGCTTCTCATTTACTAATGTGGTTTATATTTAGGCATGCAGAGGAAATGAACTTGACGAAGGTGTTCGTTTATATCGTACAAGAGCTTGCAAATCTGAAACAGACTCAGCTGGTACGTCTTATAAGCTTCCAACACACGCTGACTTTCTTATCGCTCACAGTACAGTACAAGGTAAGTATGAAAATTTTATTCTTTGAGTATTGGAAAAACTTCGTTGATCGACAGCAAAAATAAAAGTAATTTCGTATTTCACCAAGTTTTAAGTAGTAGATACTTGAATTCACTAATTAATGAAATTACCTAGATTAATGAGTCTCGTAAAGTTATTAATAAAAAAAAAACATTCATTTCTAACAAATTTAGCTAGTAGAAGTGCAATTTAAATATGCAGAGAGTTGAATAAATATAGAAGTAGTTTTAAGTTAGAAACATTTATAGGTTTTTATTCGTGGCGAAATCCTGAAAAAGGAACATGGTTCATTCAATGTCTATGCGATGTTTTGGATGAGTTTTATGAAACAACAGATCTTCTAAAGATGCTAACTATATGTGCCCGCCGAGTAGCTACCGAATACACTTCAATCAATGACTTCGATGTTACAAAGCATGATCAAAAACAAGTGCCTGCAATAACGTCTATGCTCATCAGAGATCTCTATTTTACGCGAAAATAGATACATTGTAATTGAAATTCTCGACAATTCATTTTTTTTCTCAAATATTATTTAGACTTAACGAAATGTTTCTTTTTTACTGATTATCGATAAAAAGTTAAGATTCTGGAAATCTCATGCTTGCCCGTTGTATATACAGAAAAATCATAAGAAAAAAAAATTTCTTAAGACGTACAGTATTATTTTGAAAATTAATTTGTTTTATTAAAAACAATTCTATACATTATTGAATGTTTTTATTTGAAGCCTTCAACTTAATGTTAATGTGTTAAATAATCTTTTTCTTTCTTCACAAAATAATTATTCTTAAAGATGATCAAATTGTTGTATATTTAGTGAAGAAAATTGTCCAGTGTAGCAATTGTTTTTAAAAATTAATTATTTTTTGATATATTCTTTAAGTATAATCAATACAATAATAAGAGTATCTTTCTTTTTTTTTGCTTAATTCTGGTAGTCATACCAAGAAAAAATGTTCATTACATTCAAAGTTCTATGTAAAACAATTTGTGTTAATAAAAATTACTTCTTGATAATAATTAATTTTTTTCTTAAAATATAATAATGTTTGATTAAAGTATCACCACTATACGCTAGTAATTAGATTTTTACAGTAACAGTAAACTTATTGTAATGATTTTATGTTCAATTTTATTTTTTAAAAAACATTCCAACATTTGATTGCTATTAAAAATATAATTGTTTATTTTTACGTATAAACTGTGTATAAAAATAAATGAAATAAAATAATACTAATTAAGGCATTTCACAAACGCAATCATTCATAATTATTATGTTATATAAACTAATAAATAAAAACTTTAATCATCAAATGAATGTGGTGTAAAGATTAAGATTGAATAGCTTGGCAATTGAAAGACAATTCCATTTCTTATTGTTAAATATGGCGCAATTTCAGGTCTTGATCCTGAATACAAAGAAAAAAAATAGGGGAAAGAAAATACATGTGTGTAGATATATCTATAGAAATGAGGAGAAAGAGGGTTGTGAAGGGACCCTTCCTAAAGAGTCGAGAGTTTGCGCGAACAAATCAATACACCAGCGACCCCCTGCACGTGGATTTCTCTTTCCACCCCCTGACGAGGTGGTCCACCGTCCAACTCCTGCTGCCGGATGCTGGATATAAGCATTCAGTCGCATGCTCGAGCCTTCCGTAACACTTTCGTAATATCCAGTTTTTACACGAAGCTTCTTTAGATAAACCTTTTACATTGTTTTATAAATAATTATTGTTCCTATTGAACATTGACAAAAAATTATTTAAAAACTCTCATAATGCTTACTTGAATTTTCATTTCATCACAGGATCGTGAGGTATGTTTAATTTTACATATTGGATAAAGTTTTCGAGAACTTTTTCAGTTTCGGAATGAAATTACGTTGATTTTCCATTTAAACAAAGTTTTCTAAGAAAAAAAAAAAATTATTGAATGATAAAAATACATGGGTGTCTCGAAGATAAACTTTTGGAGTAAAATAATTGAATAATTAGTATGCAATAATCTCTTAAAAAAATATAAACAATATAATTTTTCAATCATTTTTATACGACCAATACATTTCACTAAATTATTAGCACTATTAGAGATTTATATTGAGCTTTTTTAAACTATCAAAGGAAATGTATAATACTTATAAAGAGTTTAATGTTGATATCTTCAATGAATAAAGTAGTAGAGAGAAAACATAAATACTCGGAAACTCTCAGTTTGCACTCGATGCAGCTTTCCCCTCGTATCCGACCTATTTTCGATTAAAAGCCCAACGGTATAGTTATGCCATGTTTGTTAATTTTAATAAAAGAGAAAATACAAACTTGACTCGTTCAGTTTTTGTTCCTCAAATGACTTTTTACTCGAAAAATATATCATATAAATTCTGGTGATGTTCTTAGAAGAAAACTCGATCTAAATCATTTCGCTTTTCTTTCATATTTTTATTGAATTAATTTTTAAATTATCATTTTTTATTTTATTTGTTTGTTAAATTTTCTATAAAATTAGAAGATGAAAATCTTTTTGAAAATTTTCAATTTTAGTTATTATCTTGCAAAATGCATTTCATTTGATGTAACATTCAAAAGATGACCATAAATAATTTTTTTTTAACGTCGAGTATATCCAGATAATTTATTATTCACAATAACAAAAATGCAATAAAATAAACTTTTTAATAAATTTTTGTTTATTCCGATATGAAAAAAAAAACATTTTAATTAATAAATAATAGTTTAATATTTTTTTTTTTTTAATTTGATGTCAGTCAAATGATACTTAACAGATTTATAATTGATAGAAATTAGCTATTAGATACAATATAGCTATTATTTTATATTAAGAGAGGATTATTTTTAAACAGATGAAACATCCTTGATAAAAGCAAATACTTTATTGGAAACTTTTATCTCATAAGTAGTGGTTATTTATTGAAGAGAAGCTTTTAATAAATATATTATCTGAATATTTATAATAATTATATAATAAAATTTTAAAAAAATATAACAAAAGTTACTCTGTGGAAAGCAATATTTACTATTTTAATTTGTTTTTGTACTAATTATTTTATAACAAACAGTAATACGCATAATTTTTCAATCAAAAACAGTTTTGTTTATTTATTTATTTAATAAACAATTTATTTTGGGATGTAGAAAATATTGAGTCGGATATAATACAATTTATTATTTGCTAGAATAAAAATCAAGAATTTAAATTCCTTACAATTATGAAATGTATTTAAATATTACTCTCTGAAGGAAAAGTTGAATTTTTTTCCGAATACTGTGTACTCTAGCTGTCAATAATTTTAACATAAAATAAGCAACTTTAAATTCATCAGATGAACATTGAAATATTCAATTATCTTACAATGAGTCTCATTTTTTTTTATTTACCGTGTCCACGCGTTACGTACCAATGAACCTCTGAGAAATTGTATGTACTATACATATACACTACTTGTATACATATACACTACTTTACTTTTATTTTGACCGCAGATACGCACGCGTTTGCCAAATACTCAAGTCACATACCATGAATATTCAAACAATTGCACTATCCTTCCAAATCCCGGTCTCAGGCAATTTGTGTCTGAGTACATGAGCCAAAAGATTCGTATCTGTTGACAAGACATTTTATTTCGATAATTCAACTATTAAATGTTTTTGTGTTATTTTACATAGAAATAAAATTATTTTTTATTTCTGTTTAATTTTCACTTTATTATAATCTTGTTATAATTATTGTATTAGTAGATTTAATGTTTAAATAAAAAAATATTTATGTACTTTCAAATACTACTAATGAAATATAAAATAAATATTTAATAAAAATCCGTATAAAATTTCAAAATTAAAATATTTATTAAAAATAATTCTATTGATATTACTAGTCATTTTATAATAATGACTTATGAAAACAACATATATTCATTTTCTAACAAGTTAAATTTATTTATAAAATAATAAAGTTTACTCTAGAATTGAATAGTTTTCTACGCTATTTTACGCTTCATCATCTAAAGTGTAAAACAGTTTTTATTTAATAATACCAGCATACTTTTATTCTTCTATTCGATCTAGAATTATTGGATAAAATGAAGTATTTTATGATCAACATTAAACAGGATAAGTAATTATATTTTTCATATATATGTTTACAAAACATTTATAAACGATGTTATTAATGACATGAAACTCGTTCATAGTTAGACAAAAACTTTTACATGCATTATAAAAACAAAATTTTACTCATCATTTAGTGAAAAAACTTTAGACAAATGATGAATTGTTTACTGAAATAAATTTATTGTATGTACATGAATATTTAACCTGGTTTATAGATAACATATCAACCTCAATTAATATGCGTAAAAAACATTTAATTAGTAAAAAAGAATTTTAAGTCATTCGTCAGTTAAAAATTAAGGCTCACTCAATCAAATATAAGATAGAAAGAAGATAAGAACATACCAGACATACTTGTCATGATTTATTCATGCTGACCTGTGAACTTTGCTATTTTCGTGTCAAGTCTTCTTATAAGCACCTGCGTTATTGCTGATGAAAATAACCACACAGACAAGTTATTATCACATATAAGCACATGAAGGTTCAATAGTTATACAAAAAAGTGAACTTTATTGACAATAAAAGAATAGGCCAGGTCATAACCTGACCCATTGTAGCATTAATCAGTTTAGCTTGCACTACGTATCTCTGCGCTTTGATTTTCATTGATGTTTGTAATTCATTTAGTTATATATATATATAAAATAAAAAATCAACAACTACACTGTAAATCCTAGTTTTCCAAAGTGCATTATTTCAATGCGGATAAGTGTGTTAAATATGACGTCACCCATTTGATTAACATTGTAGTCACTTTTTACACACTTAGATCTGCGTTAAAAGTGACTACAATGTTAATCAAATGGGTGACGTCATATTTAACACACTTATCCGCATTAAAATAATGCACTTTGGAAAACTGAGATTTACAGTATATTCACTGACTGTGTCAAGCAGATTATTGATTAATTAAGCGATCGGAGTGCTCGAGATAAGACTAATTTTTATTTATTTTTTTGGATTCAATTCAAAAAAGTATACAGTATAACTGAAGGCAAAAATTTTGCTATTTTTGTCCTTAAATATTTATTTATTGCGTATTATAATATTTACATATTGTATGAAGCAATAAATGTATATTATTTGTATATATACTTAATATCTAAAACATATCCATATAAAATTAAATTACTTATAACAGTTTAATATTCAATAGATCAAATCAATTATATAATTATTTTAGAAATAATTGAGGATTCTTTATTGAGTATTTATTTCAATTTTATGACAAATCTGAGTGGGCATTTTGCAATACTACATACTTTTAGATGTTAGAAAGAGTTTTTCTTAGTCCGGAACGCGAACCGGAGACCAGCGAAGCGCCAGTTCGGTATGATACCCATTCGACCATCAAAACAGTTTATTTCTTATAAAATATTAAAAGAGCACGGCATTTACTATTTAAAACAACTCTGTTAATACTGGCTTATAGGAAAGATCATTGTGATCTGCTAAATAATAATACACAATATAAGTTAAATGATGATAAAAGTTACTATCGAGCATACTTATGAATAAATGAGTATTCAACTTTGAGGCTTTATATCAGCAAATTTTATTAAAAAAAAATTGAGAACTATTGAAGATGCGATATAAATAATCCAACTTTTAATGTAATTTATCCAATTGTAAAAACAAAACAGTGACAATTACGTTGAGTTTAGTATATTTAATTTTTTATAATATTATTTCGGTTTGTTTTAAATTTATTATTAAAAAGTTTAGAGACTGAAATCTATACAACAAAGTATGAATTTTTTCAGCGTTTTAAAGGAAATTCGAAAGAACTGTAATGTTCGCGGCAGGAATAGCAGGAGTTGGTGTTTTCTATGCTGGCATCTTGGGAGTGAGTATCTGGGCAGCAACTTCGAAAAAGAAAAAAATACCCAACAAATCTCTAGATGGCTTGATTGTGGAGAATCGAAAACTCGGTTTGATACTTGGAATTTTCACACTTGTCGGTAAGTATTCATCATTGTTTGCAAAAATTCCAAATTTACAGTTAGACAAAAATGTTTTTGCTTTTATATTTTTAAATGTACATTTGCTATTTTTTTACTTAAAATTTTTCCATTTATCTACCAATCAATTTATAAGTATATATCTAAAATATTATTGTAATTATTAGTGTATTATAAATGTCATTTATTTTTAGTAATTAGATGAATAAATAAATTGTTAAAATCAAAACAGAGTGGCGATTGAAAAATGTGATGGTAAACTGTGAAATCATTTTTATTCAAAAATTTGTCATTTCACGTGGTTCTTTATTTAATAAAACTGGAAAAAGTAGCCTTTCTTTTTCTCATTCAACCAATCATATTACGAATAAACAAAGTCCACGCTAACGGGATTTTTCGCATTTCATGCGCTTCATACATCACAAAAAAACAACAAAAAATATTTGTAAAAATTAATAATTAATGCAATTTTTTTATATTTATTCTGTAATTTTTTCAATTGATGACTTTTAATGAATGGCACCAAACTCTATCAACTTCATTTTTCAATACTGTTAACTTCATCATAAATTTAAAATAAACCTATATTGTGGACCATTTCGTCATTTAGATAATTTATAGTATATACCTTTATCTGTTTCTTGAATTAAACATTATATTAATAAAAACTAGCGTATTCAAATTAATCTATTTCTGTGAAATACAGACATCCAACTTGTACTAAACGGATCACACAGTACATTTTTTCTTCATCTTATGTAGCTTTAAATGTACTTCATGATGAAGAAAAATCGCATAACAAAGGGGAAAAAAATCTAAAACAAAATTATATAAAATAAATAGAAATAATGGGATAATTAAACTTAAAAGATTTTACATAGAAAAATGAAAATTTAACATATTTTGCTCAATTAAAAGACAATGTAATAGAAAAGTACAAACAACAAAAAACTACTCGTTCAAATGGCATCAATTTTTCAATTAAAACCTATAAATGGGTTATCATTCATCTTCATTTTTTTCTTCCTTCCATTATGAACTATAGACTTTCGCTATTTTCATTAAAACAAATATAACTTGTTGGTTTTTAAATCTAATTATTCTCGTGTTAAATTATTATATAAAACAGAAATATTATTTGAGAGCTATAATGTCATTGATCAGTAGACAGACAAACAACAATTTTCAACCTATGACATGGTCAAAAGTAGAAACAGAAAATTACGATTATATAAAATAATGAAAACAATAATCATTTATTCAATCAATTTAATTATAAACGAGTCTCTAATTGAAATTTTACATTTTCAAAAAAATCTACTCAGCAACATGAATATAAAAATGATATCATTTACTAAATTAATCCTCATATTATTTTTCAAAGATATTGTCAATGGTAACATTTATATTTATTGTTCAGCAACATGGGTCGGAGGAGTTTTCGTAAATGGCACGGCAGAGGCTATGTTCTCCAAGGGACTGGTTTGGTGTCAAGTACCTATCGGCTACAGTTTCAGTCTCCTTTTCGGTTTGTAATAAGCAATACGATGATAATTTCAAAAATTTTATCGAATTCAAAAATTAAGGTAAAATGATCAGAATCAATTCCATGCAATCGCTATTTTCATCAAAGAAAAATTAAAATTTTTTGTTAATAGTTCAATTTACTATTATTCTTTTTTTTTTAAGTATATAAAGGGTTCAATAGTAACCATATAAATAAAAAATAGTGTAGATGTTTATAATATATATAAAAGTGTAAAATTGTCCCCAGGTGCGATATTGTTTGTAAAACCAATGAGAAAAGCTGACTATGTGACTCTACTAGATCCATTTCAACAGAGATATGGTGCACAGTTCGGTAGTTTATTTTTTCTTCCAGCACTCATAGGCGATCTTTTGTGGTGTGCTGCTGTGATAAAAGCTCTTGCAAATACAATCAGTGTCATCACTGAAGTTGATAATATCATAAGTGTCACGGCAGCTGCACTGCTCACTATTATGTAAGTTAAAGTCATTTCTGATCATTCTATAGAAAATTTTTGAGAATTTTCAAAATTTCCGAATAAACCTCTTTTATCAGTGTATAAATATGCAATAAAACTTAATTTTACTTTATTAGTAACTGTAGAGTATTAACACTTAAAGATGAATAGTTTTTTAATATTATTGTTCAATAAAACAAACTATATTGTATGAAAATTTGAATAAGGTGGTAATTTACATAGCCATCAACGATATAAATTACACTGGATTATTGAAAATTGCAAATCTATAAATAAAAATATTATATTGACATTTTCATCATTTCTTCATATTATATTTTGTTTTTTACTTTAAAATTTGAACTCTCCCAATTTTAAAGAAACTTGATATGATATCTATTAGTTAAACTGTAATAATCATTCATTTATTTGTAAAATTGTTAATAATGCAACAAATGAACTGAATGTTAACAAATAAATTGAATTTGAAATAGGAAATCAAATATTAATCAAATTTTTTTGCTTCGGCATCGCAAATGAAATGTCAAATCTATACTACTGAGCTTATTATAATGATGTGAAAACATTCAGTCCAACTGGATTTAAAAAGAAAATCGAATGACAAACACACGAACATTTTAGCAGTTGTGAACTTAAATTCTTGAAAAATGAATTATTAAAAGCACTATTTCTACTTCGCATCAATTATAATTATTAAATATGTTATTATCATTTTTCAAACAATTATTAAATTATTCCATATTGTGAGTAAATTTGATATTTTATAAGAAATAATTTGAAGAAATTCTAAATTTTTTTGTTTAGTTATTTAAAGTAATTAATTGATTTATATAATTTTTCAGATAGATAAAGCAAAAAAATATCAATTGTTCTTTTACATTAGATACACGACATTTGGCGGACTTTATATGGTTTCCGGTACAGATGCTCTTCAATTGGTTTGTGTTATGCTTGGATTGGCTACTGCAACTCCCTATGTGATATTAAACTCACCTGCACCACTAGAAAAAAAGCTCACTCAAAAAGATTGGCTGGGTGAAGTTGAATCACAAGACCTGGCTGAATGGATCGATGGCTTACTTTTACTTATATTTGGTGGAATTCCATGGCAGGTAATTTATAGAGTAATTACGCAGTTAATTAATATTTTAATTTACAACAATTTATTATTTCAATTGATTATTGGAAAATATATATTCTATCTTCTAGGGATACATTCAACGGATTCTTATGATGAAAACAACATCAACGGCTAAAATAGCATCAGTAGCTTCAATGATTTGCTGTTTGATACTAGCGATTCCACCAGCATTGATTGGACTTATAGCGAGAGGTACCGATTGGTCCGTCATTGAAGATTTTAATCGAACAACGCCAACGTCAAGTTTCAATAATGGTTCAATTTTACCAATTATTCTAAAACATTTCACTCCTCAGTGGGTTGCTTTTGTTGGATTAGGAACTATTTCTACCACAGTCATGTCATCTGCTAACAGCAGCATTTTTTCTAGCAGTTCTATCTTTTCACGCAACATTTACAGAATGACTATTAGACCTAAGGTGATTGCATGACTCATAGAGTACGTAAGAAAAAATAATTAAGTACATATTTACATTATAATAAGTAATAACTATATTTTTTGATGAAAAATATAATTTTTTCTTCAATAAATCATCAATTATTTGTATTTAATTTATAACAAGTAATTTTGAAAAAGTGTTGTAGTAATGTTAATTTCAATTATGAATATCTTTTAAAATAGTTTAAAAAAGAGAAATATTCATTAACAAATAAGTAACAACTTTTATCGTTATATAATTTAGCTAATCTTGTATTCTTCAGGGTATACTTTTATTTTGAAAACTGATGACGGAAAAAGAAAAAAAATTCGAAAATTCTTCTAGTATTTTTTCGAAACTAAAAATTATTTACTATTTTACCGTTTGCATTACATGATATATTTATATAATGGAACAGAAATATTTTTCTTTTAATTTACAGGCATCTGAAAAAGAATTAACTTGGATTCTAAGGATTACCCTCATTTTTATAGCTCTTTTGTCTGCTGGAATTGCTCTCGTCGTTCAAAGTGTCTATTACTTGTCGTAAGTAATTATTGTTATAATGTAGAATGATCATTTATATTATTAAAATCTATTGGGAAATGGCCTTTAAAATAGCTTGACACAATTTTTTTTTATTAAGGTTCTTATCATCGGACCTGGTATATGTCGTTCTGTTTCCACAATTATTAGCTGTACTCCATTGGCCTTCGTTGGTTGATACTTATGGATGCCTTGCGGGATACATTGTTTCTATAACTTTACGAATAGCAGGTATAATTTATTACATATTTTTCTTATTTAATAATAAACAAGATGTTTCAAATTCATATTAAATATAAATAATTCGATGTTTCATTTTAAAACCAATACACTATAAAATTATCAATACGATTCTTTGAGAAATCGTTATGACTGATTAAAATATTCTATTTACTAATAATTAATGAAGTATTTTCAATTACGTTAAAATTTTTTAATTATAATGAACCAATTAATTATTGGTATTTCTCATAAGTCATAATTAATATGCACAAAACATTAATGTTCAAAATATCGATTAAATATATTACATTTCCATAGTTTTTTTGTAAAATAAAAATATCTATCAATTTTTATCATTATTGACGAAATTATAATTGTAGGAGGTGAAAAAGGAGTGGGTTTGCCGCCGTTAATTTATTACCCCTTCTTCGATCATCGTACTCAAACCCAAAAGTTTCCAATTCGCACAACAGCCATGATATTATCAGTTATAACTCAATTGATTGTTAGTTTTATTACAAGAAAAATTTTCGATGGTACAACTTGTTGTCCTCGACACTGTGATTTTTTAGGAATTTATGCCTCAGGAAAGTCAAAAGAGCAATCTAGCGTTGCTCAAAGTAGTTCTGGTGCTGCACTTCTACTTATTGATTCAGTCATGACTGTAAGTTCAGGAGAAAAATATTTATATTAAAAATATTATGTGAATAATCGAAAATTTTTTCATTTAGAAATTTTATGAACATATAAATAAAGAATTTTCCAAAATTTTACTTGTGTCACGCTAGTTTAATTAAATTACCATTGTTTTTAAATATAGCATTGATAGTATTATCAAACATCGTATTAATTAAACAATAATTAATAAATTTAACTGTATTTTTTTATATTATAATAGCGATTTTTTGTATCACTTTTTTAATATCTGTTATTACTTACAGGAAGGTTCAGCTGGTCGTGATTCAACTGATAGTCAAGAAGATGATCGGCCTAGTTATGAGGATTCACGAACTTCTGAAGACACTATCAACTACAGTACATTTGGCGAACGACCTGATTATACTCTGCGACGTGGAATGAGTGTCCAAAATACTCCAATTTCACGAATAAATAGAACTTTTCCAAAGAATGTAACACAAACACCCGGTAGAAATCGAGTTCAACATTCCCATCTTAATAACTTGGATGGACAAATTCTAGGTGTTAGAAATTTACCCACTACACCATTAAATCAAGTTCTATTATCTAATGAAATTAATCATAATAATACATTAAAAATGGTTCCTCCTCCCGTAATTAGCAATACTCCTGTTACATCAGCCTATTCTACTTATGGAAAATTTACGAATATCGAGAAAGCTAAGGAAATAGAAAAGAACGGCGATCGAAATTCTTTGGAATTGAATCTTAATCTTAATCTGAACCTTCAAGAAGCTCCTGTAGGAGTTGTAAAGAAAAATGTTGTTGGGGTAAAACTTGTTGGCATGGATGGAACAACTACATTGCGTCGGCCGTCTCAGGTAATTAAGCTTCTAGTTAAAATCAATTACGTATCAGATAGTTATGATTAATACAATTATCTTTTTTATTAATATTTTAATAAATTTTTATCTGATATGACTACGATTAATCATTTCAACAAAAATATACTATGGATTGTGCAATTAAAAATAAATAACTTTTTTTTTTCAGGGTACTTTTTCACCAACTCCATCAGTTGAATTAGTACACATTTTGGATAGAAGACAAAGTGGTAGTTCCCCATTTGGACCACCATCTTTGTCACCTGTACCCGGTGTTGAAGCTTGTAAAATTCATGGCACAGCAGTTGGAGGAGCTGGAAATGAGCATTGCAGAATTAAACGAGGCATTGTACGACATCATAGGTAAGTTAAGATTTATATTTAAACTCAGTTAAATCATGAGTTATAAAGAGACTATTTAAATGAGGTTTATTGAATACTACTAAATAAAATGGATAGTGAGATTATCAATGAATTAACATATAAATATGAATCCTTGGAAATTTTTTAATGTATGTTCATTTCAAAGTAAATTTCCACTGAATCGACTGTTATTAATGAATGTTTAAAACATTTAATCATCATAATTAAAGATAAAAATCAATCCAATTAATATTTAGTTTATTTTTACTTAAATAGTTTTAACGAAACGGGTGATAGAACTTTAACTACTCTTGCAAGACAGCCAACTTATCCTAGCATGCCTTTAAGATCTGAAGATTGTCGAATGACTTTGATGAAGAAAGACAAGAAACCAAGTGAAACCATTGAACGACATTCATCTGTAGCCGATGAAAAATGTCTTATTGGAGGCCGCGGTTTGGTATTAAGTCCTAGCTACAGTATGTATGGATCAGTAGTAACTGATCATAGTTATTTTTTAGCTGAAGATGAAGCTATTAGTAGATTTTAATTTTAACTCTTGTATATTATAATTAAGTATGATTCAACGGCATTAATGCTTTTTTGTAATATGTCAAAACGTATCTGAACAAATGACCACTTAACAGAAGATTTTTTATAATTTTAATTTATTAATCTTATAATAGTTTAAGTAAGTAGAGTGATAATTACAAAAAAATTTTAATTATTGAATGTTATTCGCTCAATAATTTTATTTGATACAATTTTTGTCATTTTTATTACCATAAAGCCATTTTTACACAATATTAACTATTTTATATGAATAGTTGAACAAAGTTTAATCCAAAAATTACCTATCGAACTCAGTCTTAACTATTCAGGATAAATTATTTTTTAATATTAATTCTTTTTCTTTAAATTCAACTTATCAAATATGATTCGGTATAAGAGTAAAGTAAATAATTGACTAGTCATTTATCGAAAAATATGCCAAAGAATAGATATTATTTAAAATATTATTAAATTACAAAAAGACCAAAAGTATTAAAAAGATTCTAATACTATAATCTATCTTCCATGTAATTATAATCTAAAATTGGACAAACTAATAAATTAGTTTCAACTTATGCAGTGAAAAATGTTTTAAGTTGATTTTTACGATTTGTCTTGAAGGTCATGTAAAAACTTCACTGAATTGACTGAAACTGAAATTAGACATTGTACAAATGACATCTTCCTCCTTTATCTTCGTAGTTTTTATTTTTAAAAAGTTGACGGAAATTAATTGTAAATAAATCATTTTAATAATAAGAGGTATCCAGAATGATTGATAATATTCAGAGTATTCATTTCTGGAAATGGGATATTAATAAAATGTTAATAAATCATTTAACTTTAATTATTATTATAATTAATAAAATAATTTAAGTGAAAAAACTACCATTAAATAAAATAAATAAGTATGTAATAAGGAAATAAGAATAGTCAATCACATATAGAAATTCTAATAATCAATAAAAATACGATATTTTTGCACCGATAATCATATACAACTCATTTAATTATAAACTCTTGTAGATAATTATCATTTGTTTTAACAAAAAGTTATTATGCAAATATTAATAAAATTCATACCAAATAAATTATTTAAAAAGGTTCAATGTTCTTAATAAGTAATTTGATAAAATTTAGTAGAAAAATTATAGTAGTTGTTCATAAAATCCATTCATTGATTCTCAATAATTTTAATAATTGTATTATGAAATCGATACGTATATAATTTATGATACTGAATAATTTTTTACATAAAAATTATTGTAGGGAACTGATTCTAGCAATAAACAAAAATTTTAAATGACAAAGTTAGGGAAAGAAATGTTCACAAAAATGAATTCGCTTTTATTCATCTTTACATTAAGTTGATTATTTTTATTTTGTGAATAATTACTACTTCATACTGTTAATAATAAAACTATTTATTTACAAATATTTTAATCCTATAGATTATTAGCTATAGTTAATTAGAGAGGCCAAAATGTTTTCTTCACAAAATATTTCAAATAATTTTGAACAAAAAAAAATTCAAACTTGTGATTCTAAAGAGTGTAATGTTTAGTGCCATATTTTAATTATTTTTACACTAGATAGTGACGAAAAAAATTTCTCGTCTCTCTACCTCTAAGTATTGTATATTTATATAATTGATTAAGAGGACATCTGCGACCTGTGCCAGTATTATTAGATAATAAGCAACGATATGCAATAATCGATATCGTAGAGGCTGCAGCCTTTAAAGCTCATAATAATAGAATAACTGGAAATAAAAAGTACATTATCGTATCTATATGCATGAATATTGATTACAGTACATTTTTGTAAACATTAATTAATTCAATTCTCTGTATTATTTATTATTATGATAAATGAATAATAATGTTTAAAAAAAATAAAACTATCGGTCAATATCAAACGTAAGTAATCAAAAGTGTTACTCAATTTCTATCAAAAAATCTTAAATTTGAGCAATTCAACATGTATATGTATGAATTTAATTCTTATAAATTATAATTAATCATTCATTTTAAAATTGACATCATTTTGATAAATAAAATAACCAATGTTTACAATAATCTATAATAAAACTAATTGTTAATACTACTATTATAAGGAATATAATAACTAATATTTCTAAATTTTTTAGATAATTTGATATACATTTTTAATGTCATTATTTCATATACTATTTGAAAATAAATCGGGGAAAACTTTTGATAAAAACTTCTAAATAAAAAATTATGAACTAAATAACCAATTTTTTGTTAATTTTCTGATAAATTTTTTAAAATAAAAATCTATTTTCTAAAAATAGAAAAATTTGTTATAAGGGCATTACATAAGTATATGAATAACATCACTTAATACTTACATAAATTCGTAAGTGTCTTTTTGTACCTTTATACTTGATTATAAATTCTAAATGTATTACTTGACTAAAATTTTATTATTTAATGTGTAATGATGTGTAATTATATGCAATGCCCTATATGAAAAGATTTTGGTTAAATATGTAATTTTTCTGTATGTGTCTATATAACACACTTTCAATTGTGTTATGTGAATTACGTGCCAAATATTAGTATAAAATCAAATATGTAAATTACAACTAGATTAAATAAATATGTAGTAAAAAAATTTTCAATTTCTAATAAATTTGTTTAATTTGTAAATGGCATGAAAACATGGATATTTACAGAGTACTCTACATGTACGGACAATCGTATACAATAATAAAAATTTTGAGAAAAATAACTTGAATAATTTATTGGAATTTTTAGAAAAACTTTATTATTAAATTTTCTTAAGTAATTGTTTCATACATATATAATGTACTGTCTAAATTGTGCTTATAATATGTCATCTTATGACGTTATTTTTACAGTGTAATACGTTTTTCATTGTTTTAATATTCTTGGATTGACATAAATAATTTCTATAAAATAATTATTCAATAATCACCTGGAAGCTTCCAAATTCAAACAAAAATGGGAATAGAAAGTTGCAATACCAACTGTACAATTTATGATATTTCAATCAATTATATGAATTCTTAAGAATGAATAAATATCATATAAAAGTAATTACCTATAACCAACTCTGATTTAATGTGAATTCAATTTATGATTTTAATAAGTATCAATTAAAACAAATACTGCTTTAGAATACTGTACATTAATTCAATTATAATAGAATCAACCGACTAAACTTTTTCAAATCAGTAAGGTTTAATTGCTTCTCTCTTTTTTCCATTTTTTTTATAAAAGTGTTATTATCAGAATATAAAAAATAAAATAAACATGACACAAACATCAATTCTTTGTTTTTAAGAATGAAAATCTTTAAATACTTAAATGAATTATTAATAAATCAAAATTCTAGTTTTCAATATATTCAATTTCTATTATTTAAATATGATATTTCTTTAAATACATAAAAAAATAGTTAAGTCTTTCTTATAATATAATAAACCATGATTGATGTTTTAATGTATTGACTATTTCAATTAAATAACTGATTGAAAAAAATAATTGTAAACAAATTTATTTACGTCTAACAATGTTTATGATTCTATTTCCATTTTTGTGGACAACAAAGGTGATTTACAAAATCCGTATAGTTTTCAAATCGTCGTAGACAAACTTTACAAAAGTTCATATGATAAGTATTTATATGATTTTTCAGTGTCTCATCATTAGTAAAATACAACTGACATTGAGTACAATGTAGATAAGTCGTAAATTTTTGAGAAATAAAATGTGTATCTCTAATATGTTTATTTAATTCTTCGTACGAATTAGTTTGGAAATTGCGACAAGTTGAGCAGTTGTACATTGGGCATAATGAAGTAGCAGCATTAGTATTCACTGGTGGATAATAAACTGATGATTGTAGAGTATCATTGCGATTTTGAACATTGGTTATAAATTGTGGCGGCCTTGTACAATGAGTTGCAACATGTGTGATAATGTCGTTTTTCTCAAATGTTGCAAAAGAACATAACTTACAATTGAACATTTTTGGTCTGTTTTTCACTGAATCAACTGACGTCACAGTTGCAATTGATGAGTTTGGTGCAAAATGACTTACAATTTGAGAAGTATTAGGAATTTGAGAAATTATTTTAGATTGACTTGGATTACTCACAATTGTAGAAACATCTTGTGTATTACTTAAAGTCTCATTGTAGTGAAGTACTAAATGTTGTTGAAATTCTTCCTCTTTAGTAGTACAAAAATTACACAGTGGACAGGAAAATTCGGCCATTACTTGCGGAAAATTCCTATTGACTCGTTCTTCAGTAGAATTGCGATTAACTAAAGGCATTGCTATTCTGGCATTAACATTCCGAATTCTTTGTGGTATAGGAGGAAGAATTCTTTTTCCTACAATATTTGATGTAACATGAGTGACTCTTTGTTTATTAGGGGAGTTACTTGAAGCAGTATCTGTTACTGGTAAAACAAGAGCAGCTCGCATTGTTGGATTGCCACTTCTTCTGTTTAAACTGTTCATATGAGCATTTAAATGCTCATTCAATGAAGTTTCATTATCAAAAGCAGCTCGACATTGATTACATGTATGATTTTTAACAGCTTGAAGCTCTGAAAAATTTTTTACTCGTAAAAATGGACGAGGATTAGAATCAGTTTTACTTGGAGAAGTGCCTATGATTTTTACTTCATCATCTGTTTTTTTTGGTATGTCAGTTGGAGTATCTTTAGAAGTATCATTAACATGGTTATTATCTGAACTAGGGCATATTTTTTCAACCAATATCTCACTATCATGATCACTCGAAGAAGAATCAACTATTATAGGATCTGGCACATTTTTACTTGAAACTGTAGTCGTGTTTGTATTTTTTTTTGCAACTTCATGAATTGTAACTTTCTCTTGAGATCGTATGCTCAATACATTTTCTTGACTTTTATCATTCTTTTCATCTTTATTAGAATCATTTATTGGTGTTATCAGTCTTGACTGTTCAACAATTGATGTATTTTTATTAGTGGGAGTATTGGTCTGTCCACTATTTACAACTTTTATTACAAGCTTATTTACAACAGATCCAATGTTATTTGTAGTAATAATTTCATTAGAACTACTCAAAATTGGTAAACTATTTGTAATAACTTGTGGTCCTTGAAAAGTTGAACCACTTTTAGAAATACTAATTCCTGAATTATTTGGAACAACTTGAATGTTTCCCAATTCATCCAATATCAAAGACACTAACTGAACTGGATTATCATTTACACAATCAATCGTGGCATTGTTCAATAAGTTTGTATTGGAAGACATTGTGTTACTAATTGTATTATTACTTAAATTTATTTGTTTCTCTGAAGAAATCGATTTGGTTATCTTCCGTAAACTATTAGAAACGTTTAAAGTTGATTCATTAGGTAGTATTGGTCTATTTTGATCAAAATTCACAGCAGATTGATTGACAATTAAATCATTTGTAGTAGTTAAATTGAAATTTGAAGTATTTAGAACTTTAATGTTGTCTTTTGATATTAATGGTTGAAATGGTTTTTTTGGTGTTTTTGTAGCCTCTACGGTGTTTATTTTTGTATTATTATCACTATTAGATTTATGATTATCGTGTTGTATCATTTCTTCAACATTTTCAAATCTCGTTTGACTAACGTTTGAAAAGGGTCGTTGATTATTCAACACCACTGAACAGCCTGGTTTAAATTTCCAACATGATGATCGAATATGTATAATAAACAATTTTAGAGTTGACCATTTTTCATTGCAGTAATTACATATGAATTTAATAATATCATGTGAAGCCCAATGTTTCATTAAATCAGATAAATTACTGCTAAGATGTCTACATATATTGCAAATGTATGCAGGTTGACTATTTTGTCGTAGAAAACATGAATAGCCTGGATATTCATTTACTTTTAAGTGGTTTAAATTGTGTTCCTCAAATTCAGTCCACGTAGAAAATGGTTTATTACAAAATCCACAATTCCATGAAAAAACTAGTTTCAGACCATCGATGTAATCTTTTTCTGACAATTCGGAACCTTTTAATATGGCAGATTCTGTTTCTTTTGCTCTTGAAGTATTCATTTTTTTCTCAATCTGATTTTTAGTTTTACCTTCTGAATTTTCCAACGGATTTTTACATGTATGCTTTGACAATTCACCGTCAGACGTAAATTGTAATTTACATAATCGACAAACATACTCAGCTACAAAAAGATATTGTTCATTTATTCCAGCACCGGCTGGTTTTATTCCTTGATGTGAAACACACAATTTTGGAAAAGAGTGACGGCTTGCAACAAATGTAGGATCTTTTTCATGAGTAAACCAATGAGTACAAAATACAGTGCCAACACCAAAAAATACAACTCGACATATATTACAGACAAATGTAACAGTGCGATGAAAATTAATATTAGCGTGCTCTTCTAAATGCTTACGCATCTCTGATAATGAATGAAGAATTACTCGACACGTGCTACAAAATAACTTGGGTAATCTACCCTTTCCACGTTTATTGTTACATTTAGAACTATAACGATAATGAATTTCAAAACATTCACTTCGTCGAAATAGCGTATTACATATTTCACAATAAAGAACCATTTCTATTTGAACAATAGATTCATTTTTTAATCGATTATCAGAATGGCATGAACAAATAATCGTAGAAGTTGTATTTGTAATAATGTTTATATCAGTATCAGAAATCGTTTTAGTTGTTGTTTCTTCATTATTTTCAACATCTATAATTAATTCATCGTCAACAGAATCATCGTTATTAACAATTCTGATTATTTTTTTTTCATTCACTTTTTGTACATTATCACTGAGATTACTTTCTTTTTCCGACATACTTATTAATGTCTCATTCTTAGTAATCCCTATGGAAGATTTTTGCAAATTTGCAGATGTAATAAAAGTAGTTTTATCAGGTATTTCTTTTTCTGTTCTTAATACAATAGAACTTATATTGCTATTTGATTCGGAAGATTTTGAAGATAATTTACATTTCACTTTCAATTTGCAAGAATTATTATTCAATATATTTTCTTGAACTATTTCTTGGTTTATAAAAACTTTATTTGCAGTTTTTTGTAAATTATTTTTAGACTTCCATGCATTTAAATAAACATCATTATCATTCAAATCTTCTAATCTCCATAAAATTATTTTCAATTCTCGTTTCATTGGAGCTTTAATATTAGTCTCATTACCTTCATTGAACCTTAAATCTTGCAATGCTTGTTGAATTGATGATTGATGATTATCAATGTCATGTATTTTTTCATTTAAATTTGTGGAGATTTTTGTTATTTTTCGTTTGTATTTCCACACTGGAGTGATACTATCATCCTCATTTATCTTTGGCAATGGTGGTGAATTGTTGGATTTTATCACTAATTCACCGAGATTAATATTTTCATTCTCATTTTTTTTGTATTCATCTTTTTCATCTTCATCATCGTACGGATATGGGATACAATCAATAGCATCTTGACTATATTGTAGTTTCCTTTTAGGTCTCAATAATCTGCAATTATATATTTCTTTATCTCCTGATCTTTTACGACTCGCATAAGGTTGACGATGTTGTGTAGTCCTTTTTCTCCATTTATTAATAACTGAATCTGGTAATTTTTTTAACGTCACCGAGCAAGGTTTACATAGTAACAACCAAATCTTATCTTTTTCCATGTTTCTTTGATACCGGATGAGTCATTGATTAATGTCAGAGTCAAGACTATATTTATTCAATTCATACTTGTCTTTAGAAGATCATTGATAAAAATTTGTTCTAAAAAATTAATTATTACATTATCTTAGTGAGTTATATACAAGAAATAAAAGAATGTTTTATATCCTAACAATAACAAGTGGAATATTAGATAAAAGTATTCACTCTTGAACTAACCTGTATAAATTCTTATATTTTGAATATAAATTTTGTGAGTACAAATGAAAGATACGATATTAATATTTTTGGAATGGCGTGAATGTCATCTTTTCATGCAAGAATGATTATAATTGTTATTTCTGTTTTATAGCTTTTGATAATTCACGTCTTCGAAAACAACAACAATGCAAGCAACTTTTTGTATTAGTTTTATACTCTAAATGTTTATTGATCCTAAAAATTACTTGAATAATGCTACTTTTTAAGACATATGAATTTTTTTTGTTTTTTGTAAATGACTTATAAAATATATATAAATAATGGTAAAATATATAGAATGTCTTTTCTTGAAGAACTACGTCACGAAAATTAAAGAATACACTAAAAAATTTTTGTTAGACCAATGTATAATCAGAGAAGAGAGACGTAAATAGAAGTTTATTCCTTATGGGACGATGTGGCCGGAAATTTTGATACGTGTTGTTGCTGTCAGATGGCAGAATGGTCGAGATTCAGAGACGTTTCTGAGCGTAGGGCGGAGCTCAAGTTCTGTCATGTAGTGGTGGGAGACGAACGGTTTCCCAACATCGTTCTCTGAGAAAATTTCTCTTTCATGTTAACAGGAGAGAAAAAAATAAAAAAACGAAGGAGTTGATAGATTTGTTTCGAATTTTTTTTTAAATAAAACGAAAAATTAAGACGAAGACAATGATGAGGGTGCGGAGTTTCAATTATCAAAAAGTAATTGAGCACGCGCCAAACATTGACCACTTAACCCGTGGGTTTTTCGATGTAAATAACGCTATTGTAAAAAGGTAGACCCGCATCAGTCATAAAAGCGGATTACCTACATAAAAAAGTACCACTTGTTCGTCTTCAGATGTAAAAATGTTAAAACTAGACTCGTAGTCCAGTCAAATGAGGGAAATGGGATAATTTTGGTTTGCTGCGGCCAAAGTGATGATTAATAGATAACTAGATCGAAAATTTTGCGAGGAACACGATGGTGTAGGTCAAGAATGTTTGGCACGCATAGGGAGAGGGGGGGGGAATCGCGAAAAGCCGCCTCCCATCGCGAATTTCTCGATTTCTATCATAGATATGAAAAAATGTTTTAAATAAAAGTTGGTCAGAATTTAATTTTAATGAAAAAAATACTGAACACTTTTTTCATATTTATGACAGATAAAAAGTTATTCGCGACTGAAGCTTCACTAATGACGAAAGCTCCAGTCGCGTCTAAGAAAATTAATAAAAAATACTTAGCGCTATAAATATTACTTTGTGGCAATTTATTTCGAAAAATGAGATATTTAGCTATATTTTCAGAAAAAAAAATTTTTTTTTTATCAATTTTTTCATTACTTTAATGGACAATATATTATTTAAATCGTTCTCATTTTGGTTAAAGGGTTTTAATATTTGGGCCCCCGAGCGCGCTTTTCCTCTTCTGGCGCTAACGGGTGCGACGGAGAGCAATACATATCTCTCTGCTTCACTCGCACTCACACAAAACTTCTGCGCACGCGCCGAGTACAGTAGAACATAAGTGCGAGTGAAATGATCACTCGAACCGTAAGTGTGACAAAGACACTATACGGCGAGGGAAGAGGGGATGTTTTGGGCTCATGCTGGTTACTTCAGAAGTCTTTCCAAACTCCAACTTTATCAGCGCGAGAATTTTTCTAAGTTCTACGCGCTTAAAATGTTAGAGAAAATTTTTCAATTAATTCAATTTTTCAAAATTTTTCAATTAATTTTCTAAGAGAAAAAAAATTTATATCTCCCACATAATTATATCAATCAATCTTCAAATGTAGAGAAAAAAAAACATGTTCTCAGATATGTCAAGAACATGTATGTACATTTTTTTCTTCTCTTAGAAAATTAATTTTTTGCGTTAAAAAATCGGAAAAAAGTACCTAAAAAAAGTATAGCTAGATCGACAGGAAATTTAATTCTCTATCGATCTATATATATGATTATTGGACCTAAAATTGAAAAATTTTCTCTAACATTTTAAGCGCGTAGAACTTAGAAAAATTCTCGCGCTGATAAAGTTGGAGTTTGGAAAGACTTCTGAAGTAACCAGCATGAGCCCAAAACATCCCCTCTTCCCTCACCGTATAGTGTCTTTGTCACACTTACGGTTCGAGTGATCATTTCACTCGCACTTATGCTCTACTGTACTCGGCGCGTGCGCAGAAGTTTTGTGTGAGTGCGAGTGAAGCAGAGAGATATGTATTGCTCTCTGTCGCACCCGTTAGCGCCAGAAGAGGAAAAGTGCGCTCGGGGGCCCAAATATTAAAACCCTTTAACCAAAATGAGAACGATTTAAATAATATATTGTCCATAAAAATAACTCATTTTATAGGTATATTGTTACACATAAACATAATGGTTGGTACAAATACTGATCTAAAGCAGCTTAAAAGATTGGAGACTGGGGAAAACCATGGGATGAACAAAAAAGTTTAAATGAAAAAAACAGCTTAGCCCATGTCTCATAGAAACGTTACAATTATTTTAAAAATTATTTATAGACAAAAAGAGGGTTGATAATATCATTAATTAAAGTTGATTGATTATAAAATCTCTCTATATTACTACTTTCACTTTTATCAAAGTAACTCGATTCAAAAAACTTAGAAAATCGTGATATAATAACACTTAAATGCTGCAATGAATTATTTGTAAAAAATAAATATTAACTAAAAAGTTGATCGACTTATATCAACCCTTTTAATTGAAATTTCAAAAATATTCTTTTCTTCAGCATATATAAAGTCGTTGAAGATACGCAAAGAAGTATTTATATATAGGAACAAATATTTTTTAATATCAATTGATTAATATATCAATGAACTAAGACGAAAGCTGTCAATAATGAAAAGTGATTCAAAAACTTACCTTTCGTTTTTAGGAAAGCGATGAAACGAGAGATGCGGCATCCTCGATGACACATTTTCGCATTTGAAAAATGCACATACATTTGTAGCTGGCATTTTTGCGTACACAATGCACAATCACTTATACACTGTATGCACTCTCGAAAAAAATCAAACAAATTTATATACTGATATATAAATTAAAGCAATGAATTCAATCGATAATTTTGAGTTGTAACTTTCCAAGAATTTCGGAAAATCTGAGAATTCAAGTTGGCTCTTTCTGCCGCGAAGCATTTTTTCTATGCGTGCGCATCTTTGGAGGAGAGTAGGCGTGACTGTGCCAAGAACACTGTCGCCACCTGGCTTTGGGGTACAGAAGCTTACATGTACAGTATCGCCGTCTGGCGGTTGGGGTGATAACTTTGGGGTTTGGGGTGATCCCCAAATGGAACACGGCATTGTGATTCTATTTACGTCTCTCTTCTCTGGTATAATAGAAACTAGAGATGTGAATCGGTAATTGACGGGTAAATTTACCGTAAATTACCGGTAAAAAACGCGTCAATGACCAAGCCTGTTTTACCATACCGGTCAGAAAAATGCTGATCTCTGATTGGTTAATACATGTCCAATCACAGTTTAGAATTTCCAACGGCATACAACTGTTTATTTGTTCTATCAGGTATATATTTTCATTTTTATTTGTTTATTAAAAATACTGATAATATTTAATATAAGAAAATTCAATTTGTAGATAAGGATTTTCATTGAGAACTTGGTGCAATGGGGGAGAACAAATCAATATATAAACATTTCTCTGCATTACCTCTGCAACCTAACCAAAAATCGTATTCATGTAACTATTGCAAGAAAAAGTATGCAGAAAACATTACTCGCATGCGAAAACATCTTTATAAAGAGTGTAGAAGTTGTCCTCAAGACTTACGGAAACTTTTAAAACCATGTAAACCTCGTAAACGAAATAATTCTCATCTAAACAGCACAGACGACTCATTTACTATTGAAGATTTGAATGAAGCAGACAATAGAGCAAGTACTTCAATGATTTCAAATGAAAATTTACCAAATAATATAAGTGTTTGTAGCAATAACTATAAAAAAAATACAATCGATAGTTTTTGTGATAAAATGTCAAAAAAAGATGAAGATTCTCTACAAGAACTACTTGCAGAAGCGATTTATGCATCTGGTACACCATTATGTATAACAGAAAATCCATATTGGCTAAAATTTTTTAACGCATTACGGCCTTCATTTAATTTGCCATCAAGAAATCAAATATCAAATAATCTTTTAGATTCAGTATTCGTTAGAACACAAAATATGGTTAATGAAAAAATTGAATCTGCTACTACTGTTGGAGTGCAATGTTACGCATGGTCTAATATTCGCAAAGAAGGAATCATCAATTTTATTGTAACAACCCCAGCGCCAGTTTTTTTCAAAACATTTCCAACTGGAACCGAATCACAAACTGCCTTATATATTTCTGAAAAAATAGGAAGTGTTATTGATGCTTTGGGAATTAAAAAAGTTATCGGAATTTGTAAGGTATTAAAAGATTTAACAGATTATGTGTCAGAATCAAGTATGTGGAGTTACGACTACGTTAAGCGAGCAAGTATAATCACTTCAGCATGTCAATGGTGGCAAAGTATTTGCCAAAAATCTTCGTTGAGCAAAATAGCTGTGGCTATATTGACTTTACCTGCAACATCAGCTGCAACCGAGCGTTCCTTTAGTACACAAGGATGGATTCATTCATCTAAAATAAATAAGTTAAGTATCGATAGAGCTGGAAAAATAACATACATTGCAAGAAATTTAAAATTACTTAATCCTTCACCAAAAAATACAGAAGAAGAATGGGAAGAAGATGAGGAAAGTAATAAAGGAGAGGATGAAATAAGTGAAATTTGTGCTGAGCATGAAGAAGTTGAATTTTTAGAAGAAGAATTTACTCAAGACTAATTAGTGATGTTGATGGAATTGAATCAGTATTAGACTTGTTATTTCCTAATGAAATATGTCAATTATTATGTGATATTACTAATTGATAGAAACTATAGATTATATGGTTTTATTTTTTCATAAATAATTTACATAAAAGTTAAAAAAGTCAAATTCTTTATAATATGTAATAACGAAGGATTATCTATTTTATAAAAAAAAATGTACCAAAAACTTAACTAAATAAACGTTTATAATAATTTTCAATATATTTATTATTTCTGTCCTAACAGTCAAAAATGTAAAATATTTTTTTTATTACAAATTACAAAATTTTTTTTTCATCTTATAATAATTAATTAGTTTTAAATTAACAAGTGCAAAAAGCAAAATTAACTTAAGCAAATTGGCAAGCAAGTTCGAAAGCAAGCCATTTCCTCGGTAAAAAGCTCATCATATTCATCTATATAGATGCGAATGACCGGTAATTTACGGTAATTACGCTGACCGACGGCTTGACGGTAAATTTTACATTCAGAATTTTTTGACGTCAGAATACCGTCAGATACCGGTAATTTTACGTGGTAATTACCGAATTTTCTATTACCGGTAAATTCACATCTCTAATAGAAACCACTTATTGTATAGTCTGTACACGTGCCGTGCGATCAGATATTTTGCTACGTTCACATATCACAATTATAGTTCTTTTTTGTTCCTATACGTGACTCTGATGTTATTTCCCATCATTCCCGACTACTAAAATTACCGCCATCATTGGCTTTTTTCATATGTAGTGATAAAGTGTAACACGTGTTTGTTAATAATTATTTAATATTTGATTATTACTTCAATTACAATTAAAATTATCTTCGAAATAAAAAATGCCACGAACTAAAGAATCCGATGATGAATATGAAATAAAAACTGGTCTGTATTGATAAAATACATTTGAAAACATCTAATTTTCTATAAATTCAACATTATAACGATTTTTTGTCGTTCAACTGTTTATTAATGTATAAATATTTCTTTTTTATTAATTTAGGCCGAAGATCTAGAGCTGCTACTGGAACAAATGTGGTCGATTCACCTTTACGTCGTAGTACAAGAAATAGACAGCAGATAAATCGTGAATTATCACCTGATGGAGTAAATATTACATCTGGACCGGTCACAAGAACTACTAGACGTAAAGCAGCTTCCCAAGAAGTTTTCACTTCAGAGTCTACACGTACATTAAGACCAAGGAAAACTTCTGTTACTTCTGATACTTCTGAAAATCATGATGTAGAAACAGCTGATAGTAAACGTACCACTAAAAAAAGTACGACAGCTGCTGCTACTTCAGATACACCAACTAACATTCGATTACGGTATAGTATAAATATATATGATAAACATTTTATCAATCAACAACTTAAACTATTCTATGACATTGGATGTTCTTTATTACTGTATTAAAAAATGGTTAAATTATTAATAACATTTTTAAACATGGTTTATTTGTAGACGGTCTGTTAGAGCTGGATCTGAATCAAAAACAATCCAATCTCCTGCAAAAGCAAATCGACTTACTCGTGCCAGTTCATTAGATTTAGAAGAACGTGATAATGAAATTCAAAATAATCTACAAGAAGCTCACAACAGTACACCAATCAAATTACGTCGACGAGCATCAATTCTTCCATCTGAACCAACTTTAATAGAGGAAATCGAAAAAGATCGTAACTCTCTTCAAGAATCTTTACTTTCAATAATAGAAGATGATCAAAAAGAAAAAGAAATTAATGATACAGAAGATAAACATAGCACAGTTGGTGATTTTGCTCAACATACAGATTCAATTAAATCACCTATCTTGCGATTGAGTAGAGGTTTTACACCAGAAGTGGAAATAGATACCGATCAATCTAATGAAAATACAAATGATACTTCAACCAATCCATTAAAAATTTCTAGTGGATGTAGCTTAAAATCAATATCAGAAGAAATAAATGATTCGCAATTGAAAGAAGAATCAACCATTTGTAATAAAAACAAAAGTCGAATCCATGAAATTATTCAAACTCCAAAAGTAGTAGTAGAAAAAATGAAGTTTCCATTTGAAGATCATACTTCAGAATCTCTCGATGTAAGTCCAAACAATAAAGAAAATCAAAAATCTAATGTAACCATTCCAATAAAAAAATTAAAATTTCCAAATTCTGAAGAAGTATCAACTCATCGAAAGTCTTTAACAACCATAGCTTCTGAGAAAATTTCAATTGTGAAAAGATTAAATAAAACTATAGATGATAAAATGCTAATAACTAATGAAAATTCATCCAACGAATCTTTGCCTAAAAAATCATTTGAGTTTTTTTCCAATATAAAAATGATTAATGAAAATGTTTTTTCAGTAAATATTGGTTCAAAAAATGAATCTATTATTATTACAGAAAAAATAAAAGAATCTAATTTCAATGTTCAAAATTCAGAAAACAGTAACATAGAACAAGAAGAGAGCTTAAAAGATACGTCATCGAATTCGAGCATTAATGATAATTATCAAATTTATAAAAAAAATAATGTAATAGACAAATCTCTTTCTCAAAATAATGAGATATTAAAGGTGGTTATTGATGAAGAGGAAATTGGTAGTTTAAAAGAAAAATCTCAAATTATGGACGAAACATCAAATGTTAAGTCACTTTCGATTGAATCAGCAAAAGCTCGTAAAGGTAAGATAAATAATTGACTTAAGCTATAAATATCAATGTTGATATTTTTTAAATTCATTTATAACAATTCAAATTATAGCATAAAATTGATAGCATAGGCATCACAAAAAAAGTGTATAAATCTAAAGAAAATTACTTGGTTATCTCAAAATTTTCGGGCCAGATTTTAATTTCATCTATGCTTTGAACCAGTCTGCTTTTCTTTTTTCTTATGTGATAGATAATTAACTGGTTTAAGATTGTTTTTCATATTTCTAACTCTTGCTCGTTTATATATGGCCGACCAAAATCTGTCAAATCGTTTTAGACTTTTAATTTCGGATATTTTGCTTATTCATCAACTAATTGTCCTCATCTCGTTTCATTCCATAAATTGTTGTTGCGCGAATCTTTTCCTATAGGTATTTCCTTATTTTATCTATTTATTTGCCTAAAACTAGTGCGCAAAGGTCCATATACTTTTATATATCTATATATTTCCGCTCGAGGCGCCTTAATAACTATTAGTTAGAAAAAGCGTTTAAATAAAAAAAATGTATATTAAAGTAAAAATTTTGGTTTCAGAAATTGAACTGAACTCTTTAACCGTTGAGGAAGTAAATTCAAGTGTCGATGAACCTGAAAATGATAAATCAGATAAAGGAATAATTTTGGAAAATGATTTTGAAGATGAGCTTCCAATAAATAAAGCTATAACACCTTCAAAAGAAGTTGAAGAAAATGATAGAGAATCCAATAAAAGTATAGATAATGAATTGGATTATGACCTGAACCAGTTATTCAAAGATATCCCTGCTGATGAATGGAATAAAGAACCTATTCAGTCGAGTGAGAATAATAAATTAGTGGAAAAAAATTTGAAAATTAACACAAAAAAACAAGAAAATGAAATCGACGATAAAAAAGAAGAAAAAAATTTTGAAAAAGAATCAATTGAAGATTTTGAATTGGTTTTAGTAGATAAAAAAGCTTGGGAAGCAGCTGAAGCAGATAGGTTGAAAAAAATAAAAGAAGTTCACAATTTTGAATCTCTTGATACTATTCAGACAGATACATCATTTCAAAAATCAATAGATCCTCCCGCATCTCCATTATTTGAAGAATTAACGGATGTTGAAGAAAATGAAAAAAAATCAGAAGAAGTTCAACAAGTATTTGAGGAAGTTACAAACTCATCTAATAATTCATTGCTAGAACAGGTAAATAATGATGAACGAATTTCAGATAAAAGTAATGACAATATTGAAAATGAACATGAAACAAAAGAAACGCTTGTTTCTAATAGTTTGAAAAAAGAAGTAAAACTTAAACAAATAACTCCATCAAAATTTGGTTTTGTAACAAATTCAAAGAAGTTAGTTACAGAAGATAGATTTATTCGACAATCTTTAGATTCATTATTGTCCCAAAATACAACATTCAAAACAACCTCATCAAAAACACGTAAATCTTTAAATCCCTCCATTAAATTAGATAATTTTACATCAGACACTAATGAACGAAACAAAATTAACAGTTCTACAAAATTTTTGGAAAACTCTTCCAATAAATCCCTAAATACATCAGAACCGGAAAATATTTATGAAATAGATACAGAAAAAGATGAGGAAAAGAAAAAAGAAGATATCGACAAATCACTTAATCAATCAATAAGTAAAAAGACCAAAGATAAACTCCATAAGTCACCTTATAAAGAAAAGGTAGCTAAAAATCTTATGTCTCAAGTTAATATCGATCCAGATATGCAAAGTATTGATTCTGAGAACGAAAGCGATGATCAAACTATAACTTTACCTGCATTTTTGTATGGTGAAAGTAGTGATAGTAGTAATCAACAAAAAAATGATTCTTCTAGTACTGATTCTGATATTGCCCGTGAGTATAATCTTAATGGTGATAGTGTTTTAGAATATTCTGATGACAATGTTTCAGAAGATATATGTCATGCATCAGAAACAGAATCCACTGAAAGTGATGAAGAAGACGATGATATGGCAGATTTTATTGTTGATGATGATGAAGAAATTGAGGAAGAGATGGAAGATGAAGAATCTGAATCAAAAGAAAATAAAAGTGACAGCGATAATGAAAAAGAAAATATCATTAATAATAATGAGAATAAAATAACAAATGATGAGAATGAATCTAATGAAGAAATTGGAGATGATGAAACATATGAGAAATTTGAGGAAAATAAAAATGAATTATTTTATAAAAATATGGATGTTGCAAAACACAATAAACAAAAAGAAAATCAATCAACACACAGTAAGCCTATAATTTTGCAAGAAAATGATGTTTTCACGAATGAAAATCGAGTTTTAAAAATGATTAAATCAAAAGTAGATAAGTCAAACACTCCTCAATTAGTTAAGTTTACGAAAAAAGATACATTAACACCATTAAAAAAGTCAATAATTAATTTTGAAAATTCTTTTAACGTAGACGATTCACCAATTACTTTAAAATCACCTAAAATATCTTCAGTCAATAAATCTATGCTACCACCATGTACTACTAGCCCTGAAACACTATTATTATTGAAAGAGAAATTAAATGATACACTTCCACCATTAAAATTAGAAAAATCTGGTAAAAAAAGAAAAAGCTCATTATATTTTGTTGAAGATGCTTATAACGATAAACCTGCTGAAATGGGTGTGAACAAAGAACCAATCGATAAAATTGGTGAAGGTAAAATACGAAAAAAAAAAACAAAAGAAGATAACAAAATGCGAGCAACATGGTTTTAGTGTTGAAGATATTTCTACTGAAATTCATGAAAGCTCACAATTATCTAAAATTTCTCATAAAAATTTTGAAAAGCAGAAAAAGAAAGTATTAAGAAATGATAGCTTTCTAAATTCAAATGTAGTTGTAGAAAAGGAAAATAAAAAAAAAAAAAAGGGAAAAAAATCTGTGGAAACAAAGAAAAATAAAGAAAAAATAATTTCAATAAAAGAAATTAATCAAACTTCTACTAAAAAAATGAAGAAGATAGAGGATAGTAATAAGAATAACGTTGATTTAAAAAGAACGAAACGTTTATCTTCAGAAACTTATTACACGGCCGAAGAAGCTGATACTGATTCTATTAAAAATTTGAATGATTATCAAAAAAGTAATAAATTAAAAAGTAATTTACCTAAATTTACCAATTCAGAAACAGAACAATTATCGAGTGTTCAATCCACATCAACAATAAGACACAAAGTTAAAAGACTTCCTGACGATGTTATAGAAGGTCTTTTAGAAATTCCTGTGCCACCAAAGAAAAAAAGGAAACTTCTTGTTGATCAAAAAGTTTTACCATCAAGACAAATGTTCGATTCAGAACATCCCAAGCCAGAAAATATAAGTATCGAAGACGAAGGATATATTCCATTGAGTTCTTCAGGTGGCACAACATCATTCTATGTAATGAACTTAGATAAACCAAAAAAATCTAAAAAACTAGCAGCAGTTTATTCATTTCGTGAACGCATGTTGAGAAGAAATCAACGTCAACCTATTTCAGCTTACTTAATCTATCAACAAAAACTAAAAGCAGCAAAAAATGGTAAATATTAAATTTTCATAATATCTAATATTACATATTATTTGTATTTGAAGAGTTTGTATTATTTGATATAGTTGTAATTGATCATTTAAAAAAGATTGTCATTTTTATTAAATAATTTTGTTAATTGATTCAAGAAAGTTAAGTTAAATACAAAAATAATTATCTGAGGGAATATTTTTCAATAATTTATAATTGACTGTATTAACTGAGTTAAGTCCGCTAGATTTGTACTTTATCTTGAAATGTATTTATTAATTCCATAACAACGATTTATAATTCATAATTTTACTTTTTTAACTGATATTTTTCAAGGTTAAACAAATAATTTTTTCAAATAATTGTAAGACAAAATTATGGCTATTTACTTTAAAAATTTCAATAAAGATTTATTAAAGCAAAGAATGTTATTGTTATTATGATTATAGAATCTTATTTTTGAATAAATATTTTCCAATTTATGTTTCAGACTGAATATTTGATATAAAAATATTTTTTAATAGTGTAAGTTCTATTATGATAATATAATAATAAATCATAAAATTTTTTATTTGTTCACTTATATATAGTTTTATGTTTATTTAATACTCACGAAGTACATTCATTCTGAGATATAATATAAACATACCATGTTATGACAATATATTTAACCAATTGTTAAAAGATAAATATGTGTTTTCTATTACCCAATTTAATAGCCGTTTTAGATTTCAAACATATATAAAGAGAGTTCTCTTCACAATGGTGGTAGAGTTTCAAAAAATTTTCTTATCATGAATTTAATAAAAAATCTTTTACTTTTAACTATTGTTGTTATAAATATTTGGATAATTACTGGTCATGGAATGGTGATGAATCCCGTTAGTCGAGGATCAGCGTGGCGTAAAGGATTTAATACTCCTAAAAATTACGATGACAGTGGAAATTTTTGCGGAGGATTTTACGTAAGATTTGTTTTAATAAAAGTTGATTATTTGATTTCTATAAATTCTTTTATCTTAACCAAATCTAATTAATAATAAATTGACAATTGAAAAAAAGTCGCCTACTGTCAAGTTACTTTATTAGTATATTTGTTAATATTGATAATTGCTTATAATATTAGCAATCTTTATAGACACAGCACGGTCGTAATAATGGAATGTGTGGAGCTTGTGGTGATGATTATGCCATAAAACCTCCAAGACCTCATGAAAATGGAGGATTATATGGTACTGGTACCATTGTTAAAACGTAAATATTTATGACATTCATGTAATTAATTTTTATAAATATTCATCTTCATCATCAATTTGAATTCTAGGTATAAAATTGGATCAAAAATGGATATAATTGTGAAACTAACTGCATCACATATGGGTCATTTCGAGTTTGCTCTATGTCCACTAAAACATCATAAAGATATTGAAACTGATGAATGCTTTAAAAAATATCCATTACGTCTAGTTTCTGGTGGAATTAAATACCCAGTTAAAATACAAAAAAACGGTGATATTCGAGTCAGAGTAATGCTACCACCAAAATTAAAGTGTAAACATTGTGTTCTTCGTTGGCATTATAGAGCAGGAAATAATTGGGGGACATGTTTTGATGGCACTCAGGGCTTGGGATGCGGAAATCAAGAAACATTCAGAACTTGCTCTGACATAGCTATTTTATAAAATATAAAAAATTACGTTTTTTTAAAGTTTTTTTTTCTTTGAAATAAGTAAAATATTATCATCAATAAAAATGGAAATGGTAAAAAAAGTTGATTTTTCGAAAGAAATTTTACATAAATCTATTTTAGTTATAATTAAAAGTAAAACTTGACACAGAAATTATTAATGAAAAAATTATTCAAATAACATTTAAAGTATAGTATTTATTTGATAAACAAAAAATTCATAAGAAATAAGCAGAGTAGCTCTTTTTAAAATGATTATACAAATATAAAACAATAAATGAAGTAATTTATAATTCAGCTAAATCTTAAACAATTAGATTTATGATTTGATAATCTTCATAATAAGTAAATATTTGGGTACTGTAGTTTATGATTAAAACAAAATTCCATCAACTATTTTAAGTCAACAACCAATTTCAAATTGATTTCTAAATAGAATAATTGAGTATACATATATTCATGATCACATTGTAATACTGATAAATAAAAACCTATATTTTAAAAAAATTAAATTAATTAAACAAATAAACTTCTGTTTTCTGACCTTGAAATGAAAAAAAAAATGAACTCATTTCGTTAATAAAATAAAAGAGATCTGGTTATTCGGGTCGTTAAAATATTCCATTATTAACCATGCATAATAATATACATAAAATAATTTTTAATCAATTATTTACATTAGATTTATACTTTCGTATATATAAAAAGGCGCTTGAAATAACTTTAAAAACAGTGTATCAGTAACAAAAAAATTTTCTATCATGATTTTTATAAAAGTCATATTTACTTTTTCAATTTTTACTATTAGTTGTACCAAAGTCTTAGGCCATGGAATGGCTATAGATCCAGTTGGTCGCGGATCTGCATGGCGACAGGGATTTAAAACCCCAGAAAACTGGAATGACAATGAAAATTTTTGTGGCGGATATGGGGTAAAATTCAAATTTTTTATTCACAATAATAAAAAAATAATAAATTAAAGTATTATTTTTGAAAGGTTCATTATGGCATTAATAAAGGGAAATGTGGAGCTTGTGGAGATGATTATTCTTTAACTGTTCCTAGACCTCATGAAAATGGTGGATTGTATGGTACTGGCACTATTGTTCGAACGTGAGTTTTATTTAGTTTAAATAAAATAAACTAACTTTGATGGATAAATAAGTGAAAAAATATTGATCTATTCAATTGATACTAGTTAATTTATAATTACAAATGAAATGATGGTTTTAAATTATTTACAATTGTTTTTGCAGATACAAGTCTGAGTCTATCATTAATGCAACAATTCAGTTAACTGCATCACACTTAGGATATTTCGAGTTTGCTCTTTGTCCTTTGGAAAATGAAAAAGATGTTGAGACAGAAGATTGTTTCGAAAGATACCCATTACGTCTAGCTTCAGGTGGATATAAATATCCTGTCAGATCTTCAGGCAATACATTACATACAGTAGAACTAGTTCTTCCTCAAAATTTGAAATGTAAGCAATGCTCATTTAGATGGCATTATAGAACTGGAAATACTTGGGGTATTTGCCCAAATGGAAAAGGTGATTTAGGGTGTGGTAATCAAGAAACGTTCAGAACTTGCTCAGATATTGCAATTGAATAAAAATATAACAGTTAATAATATTGTAAACATTTAAATTGAAATAAAATTTTAGATATATATGTACATTTAAAAAAAAATACTATTTATTGATTTAAAAAATCGCAATACTTGCCTATTTCCTTCTTCAGCTACCCTAATAGCCAAGATCTGACATCAGAATTTTCGACAGCCTTACGTACGTCTGCTTGCTTTCTGCAGCAGCATCTGACGTCTAACTAAACGTTGATCTTTCGTTAAGAAACCAAAAGATAACAACATACGTAAGTCTGACGACAGTCTGTTTCCTAATGGCTACAAGGGATATAGTAACGAAGATGTCAAGTTTTGTTCTTCTATTTATTAAAATCAAATAAAAACTACAAAATTCCTCCATTTCGTTTTTTAATAACTTTTTACTTTAGTCTATTCATTAAACTTCCGAGTTTGTAGAAACAAAATACTCAATCGTTTACCAAATATTGACAAATAAAAATGATCGTTATCCCAATAACGATTTAATTTTTTTAGTTACAATTCAATTTAGTTAATCCAGGTTAAACAATTTAATTTGATACGATTCAATTATTTAACATACTTTTGAGTAAATTCGATCATATTGAAAAGATTCAATCAAGAAGCAACAATATTTTTTATTTGTAATATGAATTAATTGCAAAATGGATTCTATGAGATTCTGTCGGCAACTTTTTATTGAATCTAAATGAAAATTTAAAAGATTGTAGAGAAGAATACAATAAGTTAGAAATAATAGAGTCTAATTATCTAGTAAACAACATTATTTATTGAATGAAAATAATCATAACATTTTGAATAACATTTATCTCAAACATGATTATTTTTTGCATATTTTTTACCTGTTTCGTGATTTTCTTAAATGTAAAAATAATCAACTTTATAATATTGAAAATTTTCTCATTTATTAATTGTACTTTTTACGTGATATCAGCAAACAGTTGAATGACTTTTTTTTATTTCTTGAATATCTGATTTCAATAATTTTTTACTTTTTATTATCAAGTGTTTTTTATTCAGATAAACGTTATAAATAATTTGTTCTATTTGGCACAATAATAATAATTATCTTTGATATATCCAAAACAACTAAATAAGTTTTGTCGTAAGTTACAAACAGAATCGTTCAATCTGTCACTTATATCTTTAAAAATGTTATATTTCAATTGAAACCGCGGAAAATATTTATAATAATTAATATTTAATTTTAAATATTATAACAAATGTAATTAGTGCAAATGAAATCAAATAATTTATTAAACAAAAATTCACTTCAATATGAACTTCAGTTATCTTATCCGTGTATAAATATGAACAATCAATAATTCATAAATACTACTATCTTTTATGAACAAACTGTCTGTATGAAAATGTGGGTTCCTTATTCATTAATATGAAACATAAATATTAACTCTAATGTATGCGAAAAGAGCAGAATGAATCGTCTGTCAAGATTGCAATAATGGATATTACAAATTTAATCAACTGTTCAATTAGAAATTTTTCAGATGTTTTGCAGTGATGTCTTCTTTATGGAGTGTACTATTATGATTATTTCATTCATGCCATTTTATACTATAAAATGAATGTCCATCAAAGTGATTATTAATAATTATCAAAAAATCTTTGTAAGTCTCACACTTCTCTAAATTATCACAAAAATGACTTTCATTAAATTTTTATTTATTATTACTATAATGATGGTTAATTTATCGGAGATTTTTGGTCATGGAATGTTGATGGATCCTGTCAACCGAGGAAGTGCCTGGAGGAAAGGATTTAATACACCAGTCAATTATAATGACAATGGAAACTACTGCGGTGGATATACGGTAAATTATATTCACTATTTTAAGTAACTTGGAAAAAATTCCCTCCACTTCCGAATATTATAAAGAATATTTTTAAAATACTTAAAACATAAAAAATAGCAATTATATCATCAAAAACTTGAATGAAATTTTTTTAAACTCATCCAATTAAAACCTTCTTAAGATATTACAAATTTCTTTTATTTTTAGAATTTTAGTTCATTAATATTACTGTTTTTTTCATATACATACACTTTTATAATGAATTTGAATATTTATAATAATATAATTTATGCTTTATGAGTTTCTTTTATGATTGGAATTTTTTATTCTGATAAATTTGTGAATTTTTCAATAAGACATTTCGAAAAATAATTTTTTAACTGAATTATTTATTAATTATACGGTATATTTTAATTAAATAAAAAAGAATTATATAACAATTAGACCTATTTGATATGATTACTATTCCTTTACATATTTTATTAAATTACACTATTTTACAGGCTCACTTTATAACAAATAAAGGCAAATGTGGCGTATGCGGTGACAATTACTCAAACAAACAGCCAAGAAGTAATGAAAACGGGGGACGTTATGGAACTGGTACAATTGTCAAGTCTTACCAAGAGGGCCAACAATTCGATGTTATTGTTAATCTCAGTGTCAATCATAGAGGATATTTTGAGTTCGCACTTTGTCCTTTAAAAGGAAAAAATGATATTGAAACAGAAGAATGTTTTGCAAAATATCCACTAAAATTAGCATCAGGCAAAGAAGCTTACAATTTAACATCTGGACGTAGTGGATACTACAAAATTAAACTTCAACTTCCTAAAGGTCTTACTTGTGAGCAATGTTCTTTACGCTGGAATTATAAAACTGGTAATGCTTGGGGAACTTGCGGAGATGGCAAAGGAGCAACTGGCTGTGGTAATCAAGAAACATTCCGTACTTGTTCTGATATCTCAATTGTCCCAAAATAAACGTTTACTTAATTTTGATATTTTCAACTTTTCTTGTAAAATTGACCAATAAATAAATTTTTTGTTGTATGTAGAAAACTGTTTAAAAAAAAAAATCCGGAATTTTTTAACACGACATATCATAATATTTCAATTAATGTTTTCTACTCAAACTTTTTTAAATTTATCTCAAAAGAGTTGACAATGAATTAAAAATTACACTATAAAATTTTATGAGTAATAAAGAGTAGAATCTTCAAATTACAGAAAGAAAGAAAAAGGTAAATTTGTCAGTATGTTATTCTAATCTATTTGAAAATTCTATTTATGCATTTATTTTATGATTTATTCTTACCATCACAAATTATACTACTTTTACTGTTATGATTTTATCTCGAAATCACCAAATAGTTGGTCATATTCTCCTCTTTTCCTATCTATTAAAACTCATGACTTACTGTCAGGCAAAGAGATACAATTACAAAAACCGTTCGTGTGAACATAATTAAATATTTATAATATTTTTTTTTTTTTTTTAATCATGGAGATTACAATTCATTAATGATAATAGCAAAAAAAAAAATTTTTTAATTACCGTAACAAATATTAAAAAACAATAATTAAAAAATACAAAATTAAATCGACCAATCAGAAAAGCAAAACTGTGCGCTGATTGGTGAATTTTCAACTTCCCATTAGGAAGTTATTGAAATTGGGTCGATTGGTGAAATTTGAATTTTCATCATATCTCCACGTTTCATGATATTTCCAAGCATACTGACCAATTTTTAGAAATGATGTGTGTACGTATGTATGTACGGACGTCAGCATTTTTTTCATTGTCGATATCTCAAAAATGGATTGAAATATTGACTTTAACCAAAATTTATTCGGAAGATATTATTATAAAGAAGATCTGAGTGAAATTTGAACAAATTCGGCCAAAGCGGTTTTTTTATAACAAAAATATCAATGCTCTGCAGTGGTCTGGGTGCGACCCGAAAGGTCCACACGACCAACTTCCCAGTGGAAAAAATGAAAGAGCACCTCGAATAGAACCCGTTTCTAATTGTTTATAACAGATTGAATTGGTATAAACAAAAAGAGTGAGTTTCTATTTATGTTATACGATTGGTAACATTTTGTTAGTAAAATAAAAAATTATGCGTTAAAAGTACTCATATATATGTATATGTATATAGCATGGATCCCTATTTTTATTGTTTATAACAATTTTAAATTTGTTATTTAAATATTACCATGATCAATAATCATTTGTCAGTAACAATGTTCAATTGTTATGGACACAATTCCATATTATTAACAATTATGATTGACTATTATAGCGTCTTTAATGCTGTTTTCTCAATCCTGACACGAGTTTAAAATTCTTTCATTGCTGATTTTGTTTTTCAAAATTTTTTTTTCGATGAATTATTGTCATCATATTTTCATACAAGTATTCTAATAATTTAATATTCATATTTTTTAAAAGATTTTGAAATTTTGTCTAAAAAATGGTATAATTTATAAATTGAGAAATTCAGGTCATTTTCCATTTTTGCTAGTTTTTTGGTTCTGCAAAAAAAATGGTTGGACCGATTTTGCTGAAAATCTAATCAGTTCTAAGTTACATAATCACGCATCGAATGTAATTGGTCCTACATCGATATCATTTTTTGTTCTCGAGATAATCGACCAGGAAAATTCCGAACGAACATACGTACATTTACACACACAGACGTCCACTGGAAAACGATCGTATTCGACTATGGAGACCTTAACCCTTAAATACCTCGAGTATCAAATTTGATACCGAACTTTTAAAACGAAAGTACATTCGCAATTAGTTTTATTTTTTATATTTGGCTGTTTGTATAACATCACTGCTTAGTGTTCTTTCGGTCAAATAATAAAAAAAAACAACTATTTTACTATTTTTCCCTTTATCTTGTTCTTACAGGAAACACATTAGTATTTTTTTAAGTTTATTTAGAAAATCAGGCTTCTAAGGGTTCAAACGTGGAGATATGTCAAAATTCGGGATTCGCAAAATCGGACCCATTACTATAACTTCCCACTGGGAAGTTAAAAACTAATAATTTAAAATACTTTTAAGAGAAAGAATAACAATTTTATTCGAAAATGAAGTCAATATTGACTAGACATTATTGTTCACAATCAAATATGAATTTCACTAATTACATATTGTTTGTAACAAAACGAATTTGTTATAAAAAATTAAAAATTGTATTTATTGATTAACTAATGCGTATACCACACCGATTTGGATGCTTTCAACAAAATAATATTATTAATGATGAAATATGACTCGTAAAAATAACACATTGTTTATAACAATACGAATTTGTTATAAATAATTACTAATGGAAAATTTGTCGTGTAAGCACAGACAAAGTGTGCTCAGACCTATTTTATTTCTAAATTTTTGGAATGAATAAAAATAATAATTAAATGATTTTTTACGTTGTCGACTTGAGATAGCATGATTATTAATTTTATATTTGTTTAGTTTTCAATAATTTAGTTTGAAAAATGTGACTTTATCGTATTTAATATTGTTGAAAATATTTAAAACATTATTAATCAGTGACTATTCACTGATTGTTAGTGTAGAAATGTTTATAAGCAAGTAATATAAAAATAAAGTATTAAATGAATGTATATATGCATATGTAATTCAAGTAAAAGTATTATTCAAAGATCTGAAAGTCAATGTATAAGTAAAAGCTTTATAAAGTAAAAGCGTATAAGTAAAAGCTAAGTATAAGCCTGTTAGTATCTAGGTACCAACAGGCTTATACTTGAATATGAACTTTTAAAAACTAAAAAATATGAATATTTGGGTAAATAAATAAATGTACAGTATTAGTAATATATTTATCATTTTTTAGTTGGAGCTCAGCACTGCAGAATGTTAATTTTCATGAGTGAACGATGTCTGCAAATTCACGATCTACAATTGTGGGTGGAATGAAACAAGACTTGATCTGAAACGCGCCAACTTGCAGAGCATACCTGACTCTGAGTGAGAGGTGCAGAAAGAGAAAAAAGAAATAGACTAAGGATACATATTAACAGGTAAGAGAAAGATAAGACGATTGGCCAAGTCCATGTATATAGCAGTCTACTATTGAGGTGGTTGTGAACGAGCGGCAGAGAAGGAGGAGCGGAAAGAAGTAAAGGTGCAGGAACGACTACGATGTAAGTATGCTTCTTTAAGAGATCTTTCTATAGTTGTATAGTATTCCAAGTGAGGAGGTGAAGTCCCGCTTACTAAACTCGTTGAGAGTTTACTACCAATCACAGTACAGTTGTTCCAAGAGTAAGACTAAGAATCCTTCTTCTTCGATGCGTAGGGAATCATTCATATTATTACTGTATTTAAACGATTATTGTTTTGATGTAATGTAATACAGATACATCATTTTAAATGTATCAATTGAGTTAATGTGTTGTAGATTTTAATTTTGTGAAAGTGAAAATATAGAAAAATAAACAGGATTAAAATCTTACCTTAATAAATACTTTAGTTAGTTGATATATTACTGAATAATATTCAACAAATAACAGTTAAAAAGTGCTAAGAAGAGTGAATTTATTTTTTAAACTGGTAGTGTTGCCAGTGCTGCTGACAGCAGGTCGTACATGTGACTTGTGCTCGTAAAGAATGCGGTAGGATGCGCATCCAGGAAATATGTATCACGTCCCTTACCTTGGTGGCATTTGTATGCCTCTTGGGTCAGAACGGGCTTGCGCTCAATCAAAATACAAAACAACATCAACGATTTATCAGAGCAGATGAAATACTCGGTAAGCTTTGAACGATTAATTAAGAATAATCAAATGAGAATTTAAGCCATTTCTCAATAGATTTATAAGAAAAAATGGAGGTCGATCATGCGATGAGTTATATGCTACAAATCTTGTTTGACGTTGTGGAAAGCCGTGTTGCCACGACTTGGATTCCTCCGGGGAAATCGAGTCTCTCCAATCTATCGTGTGTGACGGTCTTCAAAGTAGATACATATATACATATTGATATACTTTTTAATATCGTTTAGAGTTTATCTGCATTTTGGTTGACCTAAAAACTCTTAACAACATTTAAACAGAGAGAAAGAGAGAGAAAAATGATCCAAATTTATTGAAACATTTCATATTTTCATCGAGTTTAATTTAATTACCACAGTTAGTAATATTTTCTATTGTTTATTTATGTAATCGATTAATTTGAAAAAAAAACAAAGACCAATGATCGATTAATTTTATTGATTAAAATTTAATTCAGATTAGTTGTTGGAGCATGATATGTTTAAAATAGAAATAGAAAAATTTTAGATATGCACCATAAAGGTTAGACGATCAGATCTAATTATTCCAATCATTTCTTTACATACGAAAGATCCATATTTAGAAAACATTTGATTCTATGAATATATTAAAATGAAAATATTAATTAAAAGTATGAACAACTTGCGACTTCCGAGACTAGATCTGTTTGATTTCTGTAGTATTTTATACGCAACAATCGATTTCTATTGAATGGGTAAAACCTTGGTATAGTTTGCGTAATAATAAAACCAGATACTCATCCTTTCTCTTTTTGTCTCTGTTGAGTCACAAAATTCCGGGTTAATTTGCAGTCCAAGCAAGTGGACAATTTCACATGACAAACTTACTTCATTTCTGACGTATATTCTGTACACTATCGTCAATAAATAATTAGGATTCTGACTCCAACATATTTCTCTGTTGGACTTATATTTTGATAATAAATGTAAAAATAAGAAAAGTTTCGTTAGCAATAAATTTGAAAGATAATTAAGATAGAGGTACAATACTTTTTATTTGATCAAATATGTATGTGTTGCATCAACATATTAAAGGTTGATACGATGATTATTTGATGAATAAAGAGTTAATAAATGTAATAATAATGAAAAAGTGAATGTAAAAATTCATAGCATTTTTAAAAATGTTGAATGAATAAAAAATAAAACGTAAAAAAGGATTAGTAATGTATCTGAATAGAAAAAGCATGAGAATTTCCTTAAGAATTTTTCCGTTGATTATTGTTGTTATTATTTATATTATTTAACGGAATACATAGTTTCGACCAAGACTTATGGGTGGGTTTTACCTGAGTCTGCTTGGAAAAAGACTTAGAGTTCATTTTGTATCTTTTTTTTCTCTTGCGTTCCTTTCTCTCACCTCATCTCAGTAATTTTCAAACAAGTGGCATGAACCAATTCTTGAAGACGACTACAGCCGTATTTCATGCTTTTTTTCACATTTTTTCTTGACAGACTGTACACGTATAACGGACAATATCATCAGTACTCCTAAGTATGCACACCATGTGATTTTAATAGATAAAGTTAATTACAAAGTGTAGAAAATGATATTATTATTAAAATAATTGAATATTTTTTCGATTTAACAAAAAATCTTTTTTTAAAATGTTATTTTATATCATTAAAATTTAAACTTTATTGAAAGATTAACATATTTTAATGATTTTGAGAAATCTCTTATGAAAACTTGACAAAAAATTTCACTTTAAAGATGAATAAAAATAATATCCAAGTCAATTAGTAGTATATGTCTTTGAATGTTATTTTAAAGAAATAAAAAATCTTTAGTTGAGTTGATAGATTATACATAGGTGGTACATGTCTGAAATAAAATAAAGTCATTACTGTCTGTGAAATAAATAAATTTATATGTTGGAAAATAAATAATGAACTTTAATTAATTTGCAGCGTTAACTACTAATTAGTTATATTTATTTGTAACAAGTTGATTAATTAAATGAATCTATAAATAAATTAGGTTAAACAAAATTAAAAATTCACATAGATATCTCATTTGTTTTTTCACACCTTTATTATCCGATTCATATGTATGTACTAAGTACACGATTGATTCACTTTTTATAATAGTGGGAACTACGTATCTTCTCTACTTGTTAAAATATTACTTAAAAATGTCGTTAAAAAAATAAAATTTCATTTAATTATATTGGTATGTTAATGAAATAATTGATTTTTAATGATGTTTAATGTTTATTATTATCAGTTTGATTGAATTTATTTGAAAATAGATGAACTAATAATGATTTGAATTTTTTTAATGATTTATTTTCATTCATAGGATATTATTCGATATGCAGTAACAGATTAAATTACAAAACGTCTAGATATGGTAAATATCAGAAGTTTGAAATAATTCATACGACTAATTAACAACAAGTAGATAGAAATACAGTATTATTACTAATTGAAATTGAACACGAAGAAGGAGATGTAAAATTTCAGTCACATAAATATGAATTTTAAAAAATTAAACTTTTGTTCTGTTACATAGTAAATTAATTCTTATATTAATTTCAGATAAAATAAAATATTTGAAAATTTTTTTGTAAAGTTAAGAATTTAAAAATCAAATGTACCTGGTGCTATGGATATGAGTGTGAATAGTATGAAAAGAAGGAAAAATAAATGTAAAAAGCTAATTTAATATTAAACAAACAACATTGATGACATCAAAACAAAATAAAGATCTTAGTTTCTGGCTTATATTACGGAAACTCTGGGAAACCGAGCGAATATCCTTTTCTCAAGCAGAATTCTACACATGACGGGGTCACTGGTGACCTACCTCGTTCTGGTTTCCGTGCTGGGAATGTTGACGCTCGAAAGTTTCAACCAAGTTTAGAACAACTTACTTTTACGAAATAGTAATCACATACGTGAAATAATGAGTTTGTACTCGACCACTGTCTGTGTCGTTCAATAATGACACATACCCATTATATTATGTTACGGTGCATAGGATAAATCTAGAAAGTCATTGTCATGAACTCATGAAATTTTTAAATAAAATTCATATTACAATAAACCCATGCAATGATTGATTTTTTTAAAACTGCCAATTTAGTAGTAGTAGTAGTAGTAGTAGTAGTAGTAGTAGTAGTAGTAGTCAATGTTTGAAATATAGTCAACCAATGTATATAATGAACCATTAAATTCCTCAGACAGAGAATAAGAATTGTTTTTCGTAATTATTTATTTTTGTGAAATGTTACAAGGAAACAAATGTGACGTGGATAAAAGAGGTACTTTTGGAATATACCGTTACTTTTAATCGCTAAATATCAAGTTAATGATAACGTTAAGGGGTACATTATGTATATTTTAAGAAAATTTAAATAGCGCAGAAAGTTCACTTTTCCATTAGAGAGGGGTTGAATTTTCCACTAACAATCATGACAAATTCGTTAGAATATGGTTTTATTTGAATTTTTGTCCTCTTTGCTTTACAATTTGCTATGCCTACTTCTCTAATATTTTTATTTTATTTATTATTTACAGAAAGTGACACTATTCTTGATGTAAGTTCAGTAAGGTCCGAACATAATTTACATGACACACTTATTGGTAACACAACAAAATATATAAAAGACATAGAAATTAAACCATCAGAAAATAAAAAAAAAATACTTGGACTAATTGACGGAGCTGTTGGACTTAGTAAATTGAAAAATGAAACAAAATATCATAGACCTAAGGATAGTAAAATGGAAGAAAAGACCATGAAGTTATCAGGATTATTTGTTACTGAACCAACTACATTACCCACAAGTACGAGTGATCAAGTTAACAAAAACATTCATCATTTAAGTGATTTTTCATTGAACAGCCAACCAATTTTAAATTCTTCATTAATTAACGTTGAAAAAATATCAACACAATTTGAAACAAGAGAATCGAACTTTTCACGAGCTCGCGCACTCAATATATCGACGCCAGAGCCTACAAATTCCTTAAACGCTAATCTAACGGACCTTAGTGACGTGAGCATGGATGATGAAGATAAAGAAGTTGAAGGTTTATAATTTTACTTGTTTTATTTATATTGTTTGTAAAATTGACTGGCTTTAACTTTTCTTCAATGAAATCTGACAATTTGAAGTTTTTCTATTTATTCCGATGTTTAAATATTAAAAAAAAAAAAAAATTTCATAAAAATATACATTTGATTGTTTAATTTTAACTGAAACAATATAAAATTTTTAAAAAATTTGTCATCAATGCAAATAACTATTTTTTTCTCATCCAAGCGTAATGTTTTACCCTTCCATAAGGAAAAAATTGACACATCATTATTTTGTTTTAATTTATTGAAGCATAAAATATTTTTATATTTTAATACATTATTATTTATAATCGAATATTTAATTATTCTAACATATCAAATTATTTATGTGTAAAACGATCTTCTAGGCGGAGAATACATCGCAAATCATAATGACACTTATACGGAAATAACACCGGTAATTTTATTAAGTGAACATAAATGTATGGAAAATAATAAAACGTATGCAGTTGGAGATAAAATTATACGAAATTGTAATGAAAAGTGCGTCTGTGGACAAAATGGAACAATCCAAAACTGTGAACCTCTCTGTATTCCACCTTATGTACGAGCAAGCAAAGGAACTCAAGATCCTTTTTGTCATGAGCAAAAAGTGAGCGAGGATGGATGTTGTGCTGTTGTAGTATGTGCTGATTCTGGTAAATATGAAATAAATCATATTTTAAAAATTGCGAATCCGTTTATGTATTAAATTATGCTGCATACAAAAATAGTGATGTTGTAAGTTTAAAGCCTATATTTATGTATGTATCTGTTTGTGGCATTGTAGCAATAGTATAATTCAATTTTAAGGAATTTTATTTTATTTAACAGCTGATTAATCGCAATAATTATTAATTATATTTAATGATAATCATAATATATTATGTTAAAAAATTATCAACATGTAACATAGTTAATGTTAGAATTTACTTAAATAAAATTTCAGTAATTTCTTAAAATGGGTGTATCAAAAGTTTTATAAATGTTCAATTAAAACTTTTATTTTTTCATGAGCTAATTGTCTTAATTTGTTTATTTTCATAGCACCAGAACCTGATGAAACTTGTTTTTTCGCCAACAAACCCATATTACGAGGACAACGAGTTGAAGATGGATGTACCAAAACATGCTTTTGTGATATTGGTGGTGTGCTTAAATGCGAACCTCGATGTCCACCGAATGAAACAACTTCTGAGATACATAATCATGATCGATGCGTTGCTTTAGCTGATCCACGGTAAAATATAGTTTAAAGTTTACTTATTCTGTATCATTTTTTAACTATAAAAAAAAGCTACGAATTCTAAATGTTTTTTTACTAATTACAGAGATCCTTGCTGTACAATAACGTATTGTGATGTAAGTCTTGGAGAGCATGAAATTAAGTCAGAAAATGTAGCTGATCTTAGTGTTAGTCTTACAGATGTTAAAGTTCTAAATTCAACAGCTGTAAAACTTAAATTGTCTTCAGAACTAACGAATAAGACAGTTATTGAAATATCTAAAAATAATCATATTTGGAGTCAACAGAATCCCGACAAAGGTAAAAAAACAACAAACTTTCATTTTATTCACGTAAAAATAATTTATTATTAATAAATATAAATAATACATATGGAAAATTCATTAAATATATGTTGAAAACAATCAAAAAAATACTTTTTAATTTTCAAGTTCATTATATTTAAAAAAATTCGAATATATTGTTGATTACACAAAATATAGTTAGATTTTACACTATATAAAGAATTATTCAATGCATTTTAGTAATTTACTAATTTAATTACAGGTCGATAACTTTAGTTTAAGAAATTGTAACACTGAAATTATCATATTTTATTAATACTTTTAGGAGGAATATTATTAAATCTAGAACCAGCTCATAGTTATTATATTAGAATAACGGAAGAAGGTCGAACTGGACCAGCTATACGAGTTACCCTACCAGCCGAAGTAATAAAAACTAATATAACGGAAAAAATGGATAAAAATTCTTGTAGTCATCGGGGTAAACTATATAAAATTGGTGCCGAATGGTATGATGAGTGTATTTCCTTCTGTGTCTGCAATGAAGGTGCGAAAACTGAGTGCATCACTATCGAATGTCCTACAGACTTCGGTCTCGATGTTCTTGATCCTCATTGTCTTGATTGGGAAACTGTACCTCCTAATTTCGTAGCTAAAGCTCCTCATTGCTGTCCTCAAGTATGTATTTTCTTATCATATTTGAAAAGACAAAAATTATAGATAATAATTTATATTATTTATTTGATTATAAAATGAATAATTTATAGGAAGTACGCTGTCGAAATAATGGATCATGTGATTATGAAGGTAAAACGTATGATAACTGGAGTGAAATTCCAAGTAATGTTACTGGTTGTGAAAAGAGATGTTATTGTGATATGGGAAAAGTATCCTGTCAAGCAGCATGCCCACCAGTTTTAGCTTTACCTCCAGCTAGTTTACAATGTTCTAATCGAGCAATACTAGCTAAATTACCTCATGATGAATGTTGTTCTCACTGGATATGCGATCCAACAGGATCTTCCTCTTCAGGTAAATAATATAATATTTTGTTTGTCTTAAAAATTTTAGCATTGATGTTCAATTCATTCAATTTCTAACTAATTCCTTCGGTGAAGGTAATTCTCCAACTTTCACTATCATTTTTATAAAAGCACCTAAGTAAATAATACTTTAATATCATAGGATTTAGTTTTGGAGTATAAAAGCATGCTATTAAAGTAATTAATGTATTTCTTCTTAAAATGTTTTAATTTGAAACGTAATCAGAACATATATATTAATATAATCTTTCTTTTATTTTTATTTCACTTGAAAGTTAAAGAAGAATAAAAAACATATGTAAAAAAATGAAATGCATGTTTTTGGTCTCAAAACATGATTAATGAAAGTTTGTAAATAAATAGTGAATGTCATAATAAGTATATGCATGGACTAGCGGACAAAAATATTCAAGATCTGACAGACAATTCCCATGACAATAGACTTTACTCATTGCAGGAAAAAATACATCGTTCGCGTCCCTTGGTCCCATGACGATTGACCTGAAAAACCAGCAATCCATTGACAATAGTGAAAAACCAAGTAACAAATCCAAAATACTATCAAAGCCTATTCAAGAGGTAGGAAGCAGTGGCTCTTCTCATCTGTGGTACAATCAAAACATGGTGTCAACTTCTAATGCTCCTGAATTATTACATTATCCTATGGACCCTGGTCATCCTACTATTCCGTATAATGGTCCATATAATCCAGACTATAAACCTACTGAAGCCAGTGTAGAGGAAATATTTCAATTATCCAATAAACAGCATGAAAAGATTGCACCACCTTTGAAAGATAAATCTAAATCAAAAACAGATTCTAAAAAACTTATTGAACCAATCAAACAACATAAAGAAATTATCGAACAACATTTATTACATCATCATCAACCCATACAAGAAAATTTCCCTGGTCCGTTAGCGCCAGATAAATTTCCATTAATAAACTCAGGAAATAATAAAAAGAACACTGAAAACTTCAATATTCCAACTAAAAATCTTAACAAACTTTCTTCTCCGCCAATCAAAGAAGTTAATACAGCAGATCAACCTCAGTTTATTTCTCTTAATAATCCTGATTCTGCTTCATTTTCATTTTCTCCTATTAACGGTGAAAATATCCCACCAGCTAAATTTGATCCAACACAATTTGATAATTCAGCTGCGGGACCACCTTACAGGGATATTGAATCCACATCTGTAAAACAGAATACACAAGATCCTTTATATAATATACCTACAAATACAAAGAAAAAAACTCCTGGCGGTATATTTAGTGATGAATTAAAACCCAAACCAGATTATCCATCGTCAACAAAAATTAAATCAAGTCAAAAGATGCCAGATCAAGGAATTCTTCCTGAAGAAATTTTACATTTGATTAATCTTCATCACCCAGGCATAGCTCAACCAGAGAATCATCCAATTGAAAGTCATCCTGGTCTTTACGAATTTCATCAACAGATATCAAATCAAGGTGATTCACCAACAAACCAAATTCCATTGGGATATTTTGGTGTACCAATTCAAGGATCTAAAAAAGTAAAGCCTCAAATAGTTGCTCACAAAAATGAAGATGGTGAGACAACTTATCATATCCATACACAAGAAATTCCTAATTCTAATCAACAAATTGAAGAATTACTTGCTCATATAAATCAGTATAATACCAATCTTGGTTCTCTTCAAAATTATCCACATCAAAATCCCCTTATTCACCCTTATCAAAATGGATTGCCTGCACAGCCACCTCGCATCGATGCTCACACCCCGAATTCAGGAGTTTTGCACTTGAACCATCCATTCAACGCTCAAGCACCCATGCAATCAGGTTCGTTCCTGATTTTTCCGGAAAATTACTAATTCTATTAAATTAAAAATTATTTTATTAAAAATTTTCATCAATCATTCATCACATAATTGAAATCATTCAAATAAGTTTATCCATTATACGATATATGATATAATCTTTTATTGAAACTAAATTTTTGGATACAGGTTTATCAGAGGATACGTATACTACGAATTTTCCAATACACAGCGGTATTTCTACATATTCTCACAATGTTCCTGGTCAACCGTTGACGAATGAAGTATTTATCAAGGCTCTCGATGCTCTTGATGAGAAAACAGTGAGATTAATTTTTACAGTACCTTCAATTTTAGTAGGACTTCATGGTCGTGTTGAACTACGTTACACAAGTGATAAAGCGTAAGTGAATAATATTTTTGAATTAAAAAAAAGGCAAACTTCAATAATCAATGTCAAAAAAATGTATTTATTAAATTATTTTATTCTTTTTCAAATAGAAATATGGATCCTTCAACATGGGAATCTCAAGTATTTATACCACCGAATGACATTATAGCAACACCTCAACTAGAATTTGAACTCGATGGATTAGAACCAGCTACTGAATACAAAGTCCGAGTGATAGTTAATTTAAGAGATATAAAAACTAGTCCGAGTAGCAAAATTTACAGTGTTCGAACTCTTAATAAACATGAAGAACTTACAACATTACCCCCTCAAATTCCTATTGATGCTGAATTGAGAGTAATGGAAATCAACTCAAGTTGGATTAATGTAATTTGGAAGAAATTTACTGAATATGAACTTCAATTTATTGATGGTGTTCAGTTGAGATATAAAGAACATGATAGTAAAGTATACGCTACAACATCACTTATTCATAGAGCAGTAACTAATTATTTCATTGAGAACTTGAAACCATCAACTACATATGAAATTGGAATTTCTATTATTCCATTTCCTGGTCAAACAACAGAGCTTATTAGTGAAAGAACGGTAAGCAAAAATTAAACATTTTTTTGATTATTCAAAATGACTTTTTACAGCAGTCTTTATTTGAAAAATAAAAAAAACAAAAATTTTCTAATTATTGTATTAAATATAATTTAATGTTAAAAAAATTTTTCGTTTTCATGTTATTAGATACAAATTACAACTTCCGTTGAACCGGATCCCTACTCATTTGATGTAAAAGTAGAAATAAAAATGGTTAAATCACAAGATGTTGAAATATCATGGAGTGGAGTTCCTTATCCAGAAGACAAATACGTCAACATCTATCGAGCAATTTATCAAAGTGATAGTGGAAAAGGCGATACAAGCACATTTAAAATAGCAAAAAGAGATTCTCCAGCTAAAACAATAATAAATGATCTTAAACCTGGCACTAGGTATCGATTGTGGCTTGAAGTTTATTTAACTAATGGAAGAATAAAAAAAAGTAATGTACAAGATTTTATCACGAAACCTGGTACAGTTTTACCTGTTGGTATTTCTCAACAAGGAAAACTTGCGTCAATTCCATTACATGAAGGAAACTATTATGGACCTCTAGTCATTGTAGCAATTGTTGCGTCTCTTGCTATTCTGTCAACACTCATACTTTTGATGATGCTAATGAAAAGGAGATCAAGTAGTAAAGCAGATATATCACCTCGTAAAACAACATCAGCCTACGATAATCCTTCCTACAAGGTAGAAATCCAACAAGAAACTATGGGTAATAATTTAATTTTCTTGTCTCAGTTGTTCTTACTTACACTGTTATTATATTTTTATGTAAAATATCAGAATTAAAAACATATATTTTTTATATTAATTAATGTCGGTTTATCTTTTCAGACCTGTGAGGAAATAGTAACAATCACAAATGGTCGGAATAAAGCATCGGAGCATGAAATGTCTGCTATTAATTTAAATCTCGATACCAAGGAAAGTGCATAAATTGCATCAATAGTAGTTATTAACGATTATGATATATATATATAACGATAAAATATATGATAAACATAAAAAATAATACGATTTATCCTTATGAATATTTTTAAAACTAGATATTTAATTTTTTTATGTTTAGTCAACTGGTTTATTTATTTTCCATTGAAGAAAAAAAAACAGTATATACAGATAATGAATATGAAACTCAATAAATTGTCTTTTAATTAATTTCAACAATTTAAGATAACTTTATATTTATGATAATTAATTATATATCCAATTTATGATTCGTAAATACTTGTACATAGAACTTTTGTGCAATACATAATTTGTGTAATTTTTTATTAATACTACTATTTCTTATAAAAATCGATTGAAAAATTTCCGAAGAAAAAGATTTTTGATAATCATCAATTTATACGATGTAAATATTTGATTAAATAAACGATAATATAAAAAATACATGCATTAAAATATGTTGTATTATTTTGCGTAATATGGCTACATAATATTTGCAAGTGTTTATTGTTTTATTATGTATGAATGTATGTATGTATTGAAAATATTTTTTATTTTTATAATTAAATTAGTCATGTAGTTTTATCAATTCAAAAATATTTTTTTAAATCATTTTCCATAGCAACTGGTTCAGTTGTTGGAGAAAATCGTTCAACAACTTGACCGTTTTTATCAATAATAAATTTAGTAAAATTCCATTTGATAGCATCTATGATTAAACCGCTTTTTTTACTTTTTAGCCACTTCCAAAGAGGATGAGCATCTTCTCCATTTACTTTTATCTTTGAATACATGTCAAATTCAACATTATAGCCTTTGGAAAATTTAAAAATTTCTTCATTACTTTTTGGTTCTTGTCCGCCAAATTCGTTCGACGGAAATGCGAGAATTTTTAGCCCTTTGCTCTTTCCATACTTCCGATGAAGATCAACTAATTGTTTATAGTTTGTATCAGTTAATCCACATTCGCTGGCAACGTTCACAATAATCATTACATGTCCACGATATTTATCTAAAGAAATATCTTCTCCAATGATATTTTTTGCATGAAATTGATAAATTGAATCAGCTTTATTCCAATCAGTTTCCTGATTAAAAGTACTTTGCGGACTGTCTAGAGCCATACAGTGATCATCTTTTCCATTTTCACAAAGTTCCGCAGTTGCTATTAAGCTGATCGATGAAACGAACAAAAATATTTCTGAAAAAAAATTGCGCATTCAAATGAAAATAATCAAAATATACTTATCATTAAAAAATTCTGTTTACTTACTTAATAACATCGTAAATTAAATGTTCCGGTTCAAAGTTCAATAGTTTGGATGTCGATGATAGTGCACTAAATAATAAAAAAAATATCGAACTGTAGGTGATGATATTCACAGTATTTGCAGTAAAAGCAGCAAGTGATATAAATGATTCACAATGGCTTATGTCTTTTATAAGATTTCAGGATGAAGAAAAAGATCAATTTTTATTTGAATACAAACCTGTTTACTTGTGAAAAATTCGAAAAAACCGGTAAAGTAACTACAACTATACAACAAGCCAACCTGACCTTGTGAAATATTTTAAAAATGTCCTATGTATGATGAACCTTAAGATCGGTAAAATCAAAATTATTTTTTTCGTATAAAGCAGTCGTATTTTTTCATATATCTAATACTAGTACAGTACCGGACATAAATGCTGTGTGATTTTCTATAGGACGGTATAGGGAAATCGCCTGTATAGCCCTTAAAAAATTGAACAGCATTTATGTCCGGTACTGTAGTACACTACGCGACATTAATGCTGTTTGAGTTTTTTAGGGGATTTTTTTTTCATAAGTTATAATACCTGAATTTTTGTGAATAGAGTGGGTGCCTCAGAATGCCCCGAATGCAATAAGTGCTGATGATGATAAAATGTACTAAAATCAAATTCCCTAGAGTTCAAATAATGAAATATAAATTAGAAAATGGCCCGTTTGCTATAATATTTTTTGTTAATCACTAAGAAAAGTAATAAGTTTTGATTCGTACAAATTTCATGGTATTTACATAATTGTATCGAAGAAAATTTTGAAGAACAAACTATTTGAGATAATTTCTCATAAATAAAATATTTTTGTGAAAATGGTTTATTTGATCCACACTGTAGACACTAGCGTCCTCTGAGAATCTACTGTCGATAAAATAGTTCACGTAAGATACATGATACAAAGAATAGTTCAAAACTAAAAGTGCATTCAAACGACAAGGAAAATTATGTCAGTGCAGTGGATGCAGTCTCATATTAGTTAATGTTGTGCTAAAATTCGACCAAGACCGAGTTAAATGGATTATATATTTATATATTTATTTTTACAAAATTTTTTCAATCAGTAGGAATTTCTTTATTAATATTTTTTTTACAAAAAACTTAAAAATTAAATGATATGAAAAACATGAGTAATAAAAAAAGAGCATTTTTTCAACTTTTGCTTTAAATTTGAAATTAATAAACAAAATAAAAATTAAATAAATCATTATTCTTTGAACTTTCAATCCAAACTTCCATGAATGAAAAAAAGGAGTTGATAAACTTTCATTTAGAATTATCAATTTCTTGCTTCAAACTACTAGCATCTTCATCGTCTTCTGTACCATTAACATCACCTTCTTTTTTATTAGCTTTTTAAAATTACTAATTACTTAAAATAAAGTATAGTACATGTCGAACTCTTGAAATACCTCTAAATGACTGAAATCTTCTAAATTTTGTACTGAATATTGTTTCTCGAATTTAAAATTTGAATCGAGTTTAGAAAAACAAAACAGGAATTAAATATTAACTGAATCATTTCAACTGAAGATAAATAAAAATTATCATGGAATAATCGGTCAAGTTTAAATTTCCTCAGCTTCCCTAGGGTGACCCCGACAAACTGGGCATGTTATCCTTTCTTCTTCTGCTTCTGCTAAGGCTACAATAATTTCATAACAGTTTCTACATAAAACTGCATGTCCACATGGCCGGAATCTATAAAATGGGTCCCTTTCAGCACACGCTAAACAGATATCATCAGCTCCGAACCTGGGTGCTGAAATATGAAAAAAGTTTATTACCGATGAATTTGATACAATATACTTGCAATAGATAAGAAACAGTACCAGTAATTGAGAAGTAGAGAAGATGAACAGCATAAAGAATGAAAATTTCAAAAGAAAAGGTTCCATTACTGAAACTAAATTTAGGAAAGTTTCTTAGAAATTATTATTCACATGAAAATGAAGATTTTCAATCATTTTGTTTGAAACTCTTACCATTTTCGGGACGATGATTTGGCACATCGTGTAAAATTATTTCGTTGAAATTTCTATCATTTTCAATGAATCGTACCTCTGGTAAATTATGATTTAAGTGAACTAGTGTCACTAACTCAAAATCTGAATCAACTGTCACTTGATTAAATATTAAATCTTGAAAATATTCATCAATTAAGTTTGAAGAGACTGCTAAAAATGCGTTCCTGTCTATAAAATGTCCATTAAATAACGTCCACAATCTTCTTAATTTACTTCTTGAAGGATATATCTTTACACGAGCAGCAGCAACATAATTATTATCTTCTTCCAAACGATTTAAATCCTTGTGCATAGAGTTGAACCATTTTAATAATACTTTGCAAAGGTTCCAAATATTAAAATTATTATTCAGGTGTGATTGTGTTTTTTTCCAATTTTTATGAGAAACTTGACAAAATAAATCAAAGTTTTGATAAAATGAGTAATTATTTGTTCCAACAGTATTGATCCACATTTGGCCATAATATTTAATGAATTCTTCAAAATTAGAGTCTTTCATTTTAATCGGAAGATTATATGATAATTCAACAAAAGCAGGATAAATTTGATCGCTTGGTAACCAGCTCAAACAAATAAATTTTTTCAGCAATATTTGATGATCTCTATTATTAATTTCAAAACCTTCAATGTTTTTTGCACGGGTCAAAAGTATCTGTAATATAAATTCACGTTGTTCCTTTTTTTTTTTATAATAATTCAAAAACCTAATAAGTTATATAAACTTACCAGACAATGTGATGTAAACAAACCGTGGATGTTGACATTATCAAAAGTTGTTGAAATTGAGTGGTACAGATTTTGATTGAAATTATAATAAACTGTATCGATATTGATATTTGATTCTATTAGTTTATCATGAATGTTTTCAGCAATAACTTCATATATTGAAGTATTGTTATTGTTAATCAAATTCCATATTATTGGAAAACTCTGTAAATATAAAAATTGAAGAAAATGTATATTAATTTATGAGACATTATAAAACTATGTTATTGAATTAAATGTTACAAAAAACATACATAGTTTCGATGAGGTAAAATCCAGGTCATGATTGTAGAAATACCCATATCAGGTGTAACCAGAACTTGGTTAGTATCAACATATAAATCGAGCAGCTCATTATTTCTTGCTCCTATTTTTCGTATTAAACTATTATCAGTAATGACAGCTGCCTTTTTATCACGATGATTTACAGCAGTATTACAAAAATTAATTGTCAAGGATCCTCTCTCATACATCAATAAATTTTCATATGTTTGTAATTGTAAAAGAGCTCTGAATATTGACAGCGATTGAGGTTCAGGCAAATGATGGTCTCGTTGCCACCGATTCATATTATTCTTAACAGTGTGGAATGGCACTAATCCAGATGCATCTGGATGTCTGTAAAAGTTACATATTATTTAACTTAAAATTTCAATGTAAAATAAAGTAGATGAATTATTGACTTGTATGATCTATTGATCGTTATTATGGTGATTATTTATTTCTTTAATTTGCAGATATTCTTCAATTAGTTATCATGACTCAATAAAACTAAATTATCCAAAATTTTCATTTCTATACTATTTCAATAATGTAAAAAGAAATTTAAATTAATGTTTTTTATTGTTGTAGAGCTCTATGTACAATGTTCGAGCTATCATAATTATATTAATATCATAAAAAAGTGTGTCAAAATTTACTTACCTAATTGAAACTGCACGATAAATCGTCCGAGTATTTGTGAGTCGTCTCCTGCATTCTTCTTGTAATTCATCACGAAAGTTTTGTGTTAACACCAAATTATTGCGCCTAGGATGATTATGTTCTTTTAAAAGTTGAAAGACATTATTGACAATTTTACCTTGTCCCCTGCAAAAAAATTCTCGATATAATTGACATCGCAGCAATCTGAAAAGAGAGTAATTATAATCAATGATAATAAAATTATAAGCACACATTTCCAAGAATATACAATAAAAAGTAAACAAACTTATATTAATTTGCATTCTCAACTATCGTTTGAAAAGAAATAAATTTTCGTTCGGTTTTCTAAGAATTGTTTTGAAAAGAGTGCTACCAAAATGTAAAGATAAAATGTACATACAAATGAAGAACAACATGTAAACAACAATAAGTTGAGAATCTGTTTCTCTCTCACTCTGATGTAATATCCAGTAGAAACTGAATTCAAGTATAACATGCAATAATATATCGCGTTTCAAATTTAAATAATTTTTTGTTTTAATTGACAATACTCATTAATAGATAATAATTAGTTTTACATAAATATACTTACGTTGCATTGCCCACTTCTCGATATCGATGATAAGAATGTCCGTCAAATATTCTGTGCTCACGGTGGTGAATGATTGGTAAGGCCATGTTTACATAAATGTTCACGTAAATAATTAATAGAAAAGTTCAAAATATAAAATTATTTTCAAGAAATGTAGAGATTGATTCAGTTTGAAAATGAAGAAAGATACTATCGGCACTAGTCACGTTGAGAACATACGCATGCGTTTATACTGCCGGAGCACTACGAATGTTCTCGAGGTATAAAAGGACCGGCAATGTGTTGCCCGAATATTACCGATTTTTACCGAAGTTCAAATTCTATAACAAATTCGCGAATCTTCGATATTGCTCGGTTATATTCGATTAATGAAGATTAATAATACATGTGTGAGTTCTAAAATAATTAGACAATCATTTTCACGGTATTTCAAAGTGATTAATATGCAGTGTTTATCATTTCATCATGGACCAGGAGTCTCGGATCGAAGAAAATTAGAAAGCCAAATTTTTGATGGTTATTGTTATCATTTCTCTAAAAAAGTAAAGAATACATCGTAAGAACCAACTTCATTATTAATAAATCAAATTTTTTACAATGTTTATGCAATCACATTCGTATACATATGAATATACAGGTAGATCCTTATTCTTATGCAATAATATACTTCTTATAGATATCTGGTTTGTATCCAAAAAGATTCAAATTATTGTAAAGGTTCCGGAAAAATTATTGATGGTCGTTTTAATTCTCTCCACAAGCACAATCATCCAAAAAATCATTTATCAGAAAGAATGTACAATTTTGAAAAGGATTTACGGAATGAGGTTATTACGGATAGATTTAAATCAATTAAAATGATTTACAATGAATTAAGTTTAAAGTGAGTATATTCTTCTTCCTAAATATTGTTGAGTAATTTTTTTAACATTTTGTTATATACATTTCATTTTCACGTAATATGCCATGATCTTTAGGTATCCTGAAGTAGTCATGATAAAAACTTGGCTGGAAATGGAGCCGCGAATGCGTAAATGGCGTGAAGAGGTTCAACCACCAATACCTCTCATGTTAGAAGAATATCAAATGATTTTAGATGATCCTCAGTGGGCATTTTTATTCTCTAACAATGGTGACATAAATAAAATGCACGTCTCAACGATTAAAAGCACCGATGGCTCATGTATCACTATATACGGCAATGTTGAATTATTAAAATTAATCAATCCTCTGCATCTTATGATGGATGCAACATTTTCAGTAGTACCGAGAAAGCCAAAAGCTCATCAACTTTTTACTATTTTAGCTATAGTAAATAATACCGTACGTAAAATTAATTTCTTAATTATTTTGTTCAAGTAATCGTGTTATGAAAATTGAAATAATTCATGTTTCAAATTGCAGGCGATACCAATTTTGTGGAGCCTAATGGAAAAAAAAACTGCCTCGGCGTACACAAAGTTATTGAATTACTTTTCAACTATCCTTTCACCTCAAATACAGCCTACATTTATTACATCAGATTTTGAGGTCGCTTTAGCACTTGCAATACATTCAAATTTTCCTGAAGCTACACATTCAAGATGCTTTTTCCACTATACTCGCCATTACAAAACGGTTAAAGAAATTAAGATTGCTTCCTTTCCTTCAACAGTGTCGGATGGCGAGAGTCATCATGAAGAAATTTATAGCATTACCTCTATTGCCACCTGAAGATATGAGAGAAGCTTACGACTGGCTATTACAGAATATTCCTGAGTGTATGAAGAGTATTTTTCATAAATTCCTTACATATTATGACCGCCAATGGGTTCAATTAACACGGGCAGAGTGTTTGAGCGTATTTAAAATGGTACATCGAACAAACAACTTTTCCGAAGCATACAATCGACTTCTTACACTTCTATTTGGTGAACATCCTTCAATATGGAAATTTACAGGTGTGTATAAAATAATTAAGCTAATACACACACGGACAATTATTTTTACAAGTATTTTTTAACTGATGATTTTATTTCAGCACATATAAATAATTTGCAACAGAATGCGTTATTGGAGTACAAAAGTATTGTAACGGGACATTTTACTCGAAAGTTTATGAAAGCTACAAATATTATTCGCAATGAGAAGCTAGTTTCATTGTGGGACATGTATCAAATCCGAATGCTAACTATACCTCAATTCCTATCTTGTGCGAGTTACGATTTAAAAGCTTTTTCTCATTATGAAAAAATTGAGGTACTGCAACCACCCGTATCACTGTTTGTTTATAATAAACAAAATAACACTTGTAAGTTTTTAAAAATTTATGTATATGTATGTAGATATTTTTGGACTTGTAATGTTTTTTTGTTGGATCTGGTAAAAACATGTATCAAATTTTTTTATTGATTTACTATTTAATTTTTACGTATGTATTAACTTTCCATTTGGAGAGTTGTTTATTCACCTTATTCATTGTTTTTAACATTTATTATAATAAAAATGCTTATGTATAAATTAAGACGTAAACCTACAGTTGTAGAAAATTATTTCTATTTTAGTTATAATAATTCATGATTCATTCTAGTCTGAAAATTTTTACAGATCCTTTGCAAGATCATTAAAGTCCTGATTAACATACAAGTATTAAAAAAAGTGTACATATTTTAACTTTAAATAATTTTTTCAGTACAAAATTTAGAAGATTTCAGTCATTTAGAGGTATTTCAAGAGTTCGACATGTACTATACTTTATTTTAAGTAATTAGTAATTTTAAAAAACTAATAAAAAAGAAGGTGATGTTAATGGTACAGAAGACGATGAAGATGCTAGTAGTTTGAAGCAAGAAATTGATAATTCTAAATGAAAGTTTATCAACTCCTTTTTTTCATTCATGGAAGTTTGGATTGAAAGTTCAAAGAATAATGATTTATTTAATTTTTATTTTGTTTATTAATTTCAAATTTAAAGCAAAAGTTGAAAAAATGCTCTTTTTTTATTACTCATGTTTTTCATATCATTTAATTTTTAAGTTTTTTGTAAAAAAAATATTAATAAAGAAATTCCTACTGATTGAAAAAATTTTGTAAAAATAAATATATAAATATATAATCCATTTAACTCGGTCTTGGTCGAATTTTAGCACAACATTAACTAATATGAGACTGCATCCACTGCACTGACATAATTTTCCTTGTCGTTTGAATGCACTTTTAGTTTTGAACTATTCTTTGTATCATGTATCTTACGTGAACTATTTTATCGACAGTAGATTCTCAGAGGACGCTAGTGTCTACAGTGTGGATCAAATAAACCATTTTCACAAAAATATTTTATTTATGAGAAATTATCTCAAATAGTTTGTTCTTCAAAATTTTCTTCGATACAATTATGTAAATACCATGAAATTTGTACGAATCAAAACTTATTACTTTTCTTAGTGATTAACAAAAAATATTATAGCAAACGGGCCATTTTCTAATTTATATTTCATTATTTGAACTCTAGGGAATTTGATTTTAGTACATTTTATCATCATCAGCACTTATTGCATTCGGGGCATTCTGAGGCACCCAATAGAGTGAACATAGCGATTTCTGGTAAACATTTTTCAGAAAAGGTATTAATTTTTCAAATGTAAACATAAACTTTATAAACATATTGAAAGTTGTATGAAAAATAATAATAATCTTTTTTTTTGTTAAAATACATGAAGTATTTATATTCATATAAATGCGAGAAACGTCCAGTGTCTAGTCAAGTTGAACTCCAAAAAGCAATTGATGGAAATCGAAAAGAAGGACATAGGAGCAGTTATGGAGCATATGGTTGCGGTGGTAGTGACAGTATGATTCAAAGAAGTCTTCACACACCTTATTCACTGACTTTAAATTATCAAATGTCTCCATTATCTCTGATCACGGGGGTAGGTGGACAACACCAAGCATTAGCAAATGGACGTGCAGCACATACTCCTTTACCACATCATTCTCAACATCCATAAGGAAAACCATCCACCGGTAATTCACTTTATATACTAATCTAGACAAATCAACTATAAAAATATTTTCTTATTCATCTTATTCAATTTTATAATCATGAATCTTATTATCAAGAAATGAAATCACTAATTTTAACAGTTTTATCTACATTAGTTTTGTAGTGTTTATTTATTAAATTGTTTCTTATTTTTTACACAAAACAAATACTCTTGATTAACTTTAAAATAATTATTTTCTGTTTATCAATAATATTAATCTATTGTAGGGCTAATTCCAGGTTTAACACCAGCTAAATTTGAACCCAGAATGATAGAATAAGTGAAACTTCTCAACAAAGAACTAAGAAATGCAGGTGCAGGAACACCTCCACCAATGATATACCGACAAGGGAGGGTAATATTATCATCATAAAGTAATGAATTTTTTTCTAATAAGCTTGCAAAATTGATTCTTAGCATCACAATATAAAGTTACCATGGTGTAAAAAAATTTTTTTACTGTTATTTAGGAGTGATATTTGGTGGAGATCATCTCCAACTTGATTTATCGATTCATCTTGAGCTAGTCTTATTTCTGGTTCTTCTTCAGCTGGTTTAGGAGTACATATTTTCGTCTCTGATGACTCACTCATTGATGTTCTTGAAATTGGTTACCGGGTAATTAGTATAATAAATTATATCATTCACTCTAAAAAATTTTTTTTACTACTTGATGTTTCATATTTATTCTTTAGGTAGCAAAGAGAGGAGAAGTTTTGAAAGTTAAAGATCTTGGTACTGTAACTCTAATTGATGAAGGTAAGATTTACTTTTTCACATTTTATAAGATGATTGCACAGTATTAGATAACGTGTAATAATCTTTCAAGCAGCTTATAATTTTAACATGAAATATTACATGATTATATTTAATTTTAGATATCGGAGATGTGGAAAAACAATATCCTGGTTTATTGAAGGCAACAATCGAGTGGTTTAAAATTCATAAAATTCCTGATGAAAAATCAGAAAATCAAGTTCACGAGCACTGTAAAAATCTTATCAAACATGAGACTGGAACTTCAGGAATTTTATAGTAGTCACAATATAATTATTTATATATGAATTACTTGAAAAAAATCTTATTAAAGGTAGACATGTATGTAATTTTAGTATGAATTTAACTGTGGATAGAAGCCCATTTAAAATTGATGCAAGTGCAGCTGAAGATATTTTAAATCAAGTATTGATAAGAATAATGGTAATAACAATAATAATTAATGTAACTATATCAATGATCAATTAATTACATTGAATAAATTTTGGCATTGTTGTATGAAGTAGAACACTTTTTTTTATATTATGGTGTCAGTTTGAACGTATCTTATATCTAATCTTTTAATTAAATGAAAACCTAAATTACTATTCTTGAATCACGAATAAAATGGTAAATACATTATATTTTTACAAATATTTGTTAATGAATATAATCAGAATTTTTATTGTCTTCAAACGAATACATGAGTAGTTAACGTGACATATGTCATATGACTTTTTTGTATTCTCAAAATATATTAAAACTTTAAAATTAACACAGTTTAAAAATGATCAAAGAAACTTGTGTTCATTTCATTCAAAGTAAGTTTAAAAGAATTTATTAAATATTGATTTGTATAAAAACATGATTTTTAAATTTTACTTTGTTAACCGAATAGTACTTAGTTTATTATCTTTGTCATAACTATTTTTATATGTACAATTTTTTGTAATAATTTAAGAAGAAGCTTAAAACTTCTCCAATGATAATGAATAAAAAAGATAAATAAAAGTGAAGTATTTTATTTTTTTAAATTTTCCATATATTTAAAATTAAATATTTCCATAAATATTATGAATTAAATTAAATTACTCAAATAATTTTAAGATATTAGTAACGATGGTAACATTCTATTGTTTTTAAACTGGTTTCTATGTAAATTGTAACCAATTCAGTTGTAATCTAGTGTAGTAATAGTGAAGTAATCAGTTAATTATAATTGAAATTAATTTTTCTATTAACCACATATTAATTGTATTAAAGCTATGATGATCAGATATCCTAACGCAAATCTTTCTGAATCTGAACGATCAAGAATTATCGGATAGTTTGAGGCTGGTAAATCAGTTGAGGAAATTTCTGAAATGGTTAATGTTCATATAAGCCAGTTGAGCGATGGACATTACGCTATGAACCATGAAGACTACAGAACAGGAGTCCAAGGGAGCGTGACATCCGTCCCCAATAAGATGTCAGTCAAAGGCATTTTTACAATCTTTTAAATTTAAATCTTTAAATGTATAATCTTACTGATTGTTAATCAAATTCTATGATGCCCAGATTTTTTATCTAATGATCATTTTAAAAATAAGCTTTATTCTTTTAATTTTTTAAAATTGGTTTTTTTTATTTTCAATCATTTAATATTCAATCAAATTATAAAAATTTTTCTTTTTTTAATGTTTATCATTTCGTTGAACAGTCAACTTAAGAAATTAGGACTGGTAAGTTATCTTGCGTCGGTATAGTAGAAAAAAAAATTCAACTAGTGTCACTGTTTTCTGATAGATGACAGTAATTACACTGTTTTCAATCAAAAATTAAAAATGCTTATACAAAAAAAAGTCTTCTTTCTGGCTCATGTAATGTCATGTAATTCCCACTACATAAATAAGTATATTTAGGCTTATAATCTAATGATAATAACATTTTCATCTTAATGTTAGCGTAATAACGTAATCCAAGTGAAAAAAATTTGAAAACTGAATTATTAAAAAGTTGAAAAACTTCAAAAATAATGTCTGTCAGTATTATTCTCTTCTTTAATAAACATAAACGATTTTCGTGCAACGAAAAAAAAAAGTTTTATTACTTAAGTTTTTATAAAAATAAATCAGTATTTTTAATGAATACCTTAATTTAACTGAATTTAAATATAAATATAATATGAATATAAATTTATTAATAAATTTTAATATAAATCACTACTTAATTCAATTATTTTAAAATAAAATAATCAGGGTCAATTAAAGAATTCAAAAATCATTCCTGAAGTTATAAGTATAACTTTTATTTATATTTAAGAAAGTTTACATTTGCTGGTATCTCTTTAACTTTGGTTTTCTACACTTCCAAATTATGAGCCACGTTGTCTCAGCTCCCGTCGAATATTTGTGCGTTCAACTACTGCCTACAAATATTCTGACAATGTCATCCT